GTCCTGCTCGCACTGCTAGTCGTGTCCGTCGTGAGCGTCCTCCTCCTGTCCCAGGCACTCACTACATGACTCTGCGTCCCTCTACTGCTCCTCGGCGTGTCCCTCTACCGTCTCCTCCTGCGTCCTCTTTGCCTGCCGTTCCGGACCCTGAGTCTGACCGGTATCGCGCTGAGCACCCTACAGTCACGCGTCTCCTCGCTACTGTTGTCACTGACCCTACCTTTGAGTCCTCGGCTGCGTCTGCTCTGGTCGCTGAGTTGGTTGACTTTGCTGCTGCCTGTCGTCTAGACTACGCTGCTAGCCTTGTTGCTGAGTCAGAGTCTGCGTCTGTCTGTCCTCCGTCCGTCGGGGGTGAGTGTGCTCTTGGCACGGACGTCCTTGAGGACAGGCAGGAGGACTTTGACTCTCTTGCGGCTGCTGTACCTCATCTCGTGGCCTGGTTGCTTGCCCCTGAGGGAGACCCGGATGCACTAGACATCCCCACTCCGCGCACTTACGCAGAGGCGATCTCGGGTCCCTACTCCTCTCAGTGGCAGACAGCCATGGACGCAGAGATGGCATCCTGGAAGTCCACAGGCACCTACGTCGACGAGGTTCCCCCTCCTGGGGCGAACATCGTCGATGGCATGTGGATTTTCAGGGTGAAGCGGCCGCCAGGTTCTCCGCCTGTCTTCAAGGCTCGTTACGTTGCTAGAGGCTTCAGTCAGCGTCAGGGGGTCGACTTCTTCCAGACCTTCTCCCCCACCCCGAAGATGACCACTCTTCGGGTTCTGCTGCACGTTGCTGCTCAGCGTGACTACGAGCTTCACTCTCTTGACTTCAGCACAGCGTTCCTGCAGGGCAGCCTGCACGAGGAGATCTGGCTGCGCCGCCCACCTGGCTTTACTGGGTCGTTTCCCCCTGGTACCCAGTGGAGTCTCCGCCGGCCAGTCTACGGTCTCCGCCAGGCGCCACGTGAGTGGCACGACACACTGAGGACTACTCTTGCGGCTCTTGGGTTCGCGCCGTCTACTGCTGACCCGTCGCTGTTTCTGCGCACAGACACGTCGCTGCCGCCGTTCTACATTCTCGTGTACGTCGACGACTTGGTCTTTGCTACTGCTGACACAGAGGCACTCGCTCGTGTGAAGTCGGAGCTGCAGAAGAGACACACCTGCACTGACCTGGGTGAACTGCGTAGCTACCTTGGCTTGCAGATCACCCGGGACAGAGCTCGCCGCACCATCACCCTGACTCAGTCACACATGGTGCAGCAGGTCCTTCAGCGCTTCGGCTTCCAGTTCTCCTCACCACAGGCCACACCTCTGGCTACCAGCCACTCGCTCTCAGCTCCACCTTCGGACGAGTCCGTAGAGCCGAGTGGCCCGTACCCAGAGCTTGTAGGCTGCCTCATGTACCTGATGACTTGCACGCGACCTGACCTCGCGTACCCTCTTAGCATCCTTGCTCGTTACGTTGCGCCTGGGAGACACAGGCGAGAGCACTGGGAGGCTGCTAAGAGGGTGCTGCGTTACCTGTGCAGTACATCAGGCATGGGGCTGGTGCTTGGAGGACGCGACAGAGTTGTCCTCACTGGTCACTCGGACGCCTCCTGGGTGGACGACCTGGCTACGCAGCGGTCGTCACAGGGTTACACCTTCAGCCTTGGCTCAGGTTCTGTCTCGTGGCGGTCCACCCGCTCTTCCTCTGTTCTCAGCTCTAGTTGTGAGGCTGAGATCTACGCCACAGCCATGGCTGCACAGGAGTTACGCTGGCTCACCTACCTGCTGACTGACTTGGGAGAGCGGCCTAGTTCTCCTCCAGTTCTGTACGGTGACAACAAGGCGGCTCTTGCCTTGTGTCAGGAGCACAGACTGGAGCACAGGACGAAGCACATTGCTCTTCGCTACTTTCTTGCTCGAGAGCTTCAGCAGCGCGGTCAGCTTCGGCTTGTGTACGTGGACTCGAAGGCCAACACTGCTGATATCTTCACCAAGGCGCTCCCGCCTAGTGATCATCAGCGGCACTGTACTTCTTTAGGCCTTGTGTCCACGTTTCCTCACTTGCTCACTGCTTGACATTCTTTGTACTGTACTTTATATATATCTTGTTGCTTGCTTGCTAGGTTTTGATCACTGTGTTGCTTGTCTTGTACTATATCTAGCACTGCATGTGAACTGGCCTTGTGGCCTTTACTTGTGCTCGGAGTGTGGTGACGTTGTGATCCACCCTGGGCTTTGTTTTGCTTTGCTGGACTGGTCTTGTGACCCTTTGTTCTCCCCCACTTTGCCTATGGGGGTGTGTTAAACTGTATTATGCTTGTAGGCTGTAGTGGGGTAGCCAATATGGGGTACAACCCCAACTAGGGTTTCATATTTGTACCCAAACTTCTGTTAGTTCATTCATTCTTGCCTAGTGATTCTGATAGCTTCTACTCGATTTTTGAAACATTTTCGCCCCAAAAGTGATTCGTTACCCTGCCCGTCGAGTGCACGTCACATCGTGGTCGTCCAACGTTCGATCGGGTAACCAGAATGGATCTTACGATCAATATTTTTTGCGGAATGGTGTCCAGACCTGGAGCCGCAACCATTCAAATTTTACAACATTGGAGATTCGCCAGTCGCGTGGGCAAAATCACTTGTCGTCCATCCGTGGGAACACCCCTCAGATCGAAATCACTGCGTCAACCTCTCTGTTGTTGTGAAAATACATGCGTCGCGATAACATTGACGAAAGTGGATGATTGGGTTCGCGCAACCGCCGGTCTTGGGAGAGCCATATCACGAAAATCGCATCGTCGTCGTTCACAACATTTGCGAAGCATGCGCGACAAGCAATTCCCACATTTGATTCCACCTGGCGGGAAAGCAAAATGTCATACTGCCAAGCCGTGAGTTTTCTTCCTCCCCCCACCGAATCCCACGCCTGTGAAACATGCGCAACGCTCAGCCCCAGGTTGAACGCACAATCTCCTGTGGGAGCCTCTCCCTCCGCTTGGCAACACGAAACCATGTCATATAGGAGACCCACCCCCACTCGTAAATTATAACAGGCTCGTCATCTCGTGTTCTCATCAGTAGTCGTTCACCTTCTTCAAGAATTTCTCAGCCAGCCATTCCTTCTGCTCCTGTTCACCGGCTATTCTCCTCTCACGCTTACTATTCTTGCTAGTCGGAATAAACTCCTTTGCCACTAATGGCTCGGACAAAGCAAGGTGTTAAGGCTGTGCTGCCGGTGCTTCTATTTTTGCTGCTCGTGACGTCAGCATCGTATGTTGCGGCTGGTAAGCTCGCACCTACGAGTACACTCGTGCTATCATGCGTTTTGAACGGTTTTAGAGGTGCCTCAAAGAGCAATTTTTGCGTTCCGACTTTTTGTTGCAAGTACCATCATGCATTTCGAACGGTAATCTACTACCTGAGCCAATATCGGTAGTATTTGGATGAGGTATCTAACCTAAGCACTTCCGCCGTCTCTGTGGAGCAGCATCCAAGCGATTTGTCTCCTCGCGGCGCATTCTTGGCGGGGGAATCCCCGGAGGGACTGTGAACCACTTCCAGAAATCCGTCGAGTCGACCCCAACCGCCGTGAAACTGGCAAGCACCACCAAGTCAACCACCACGTCCGTGAAAATGGCGGCCACGACCCAGCCAACCACGACACCGAGCGTAAAAGTGATGGTCAGGACCACCACGGTGACTTCCGTGTGCGAACCTACCAAAACCAAGGACTTGAAATCCGTGAGCTGGCCAACCCTCACTGGCAATACAGCCACAACAAAAAATCCATCTTAGGAAGCTTGGTTGGGAAGGTTGAACCAATTCGACCCTACTTGGCCTCCAGTTTAAAAAATTGCAGCCTACCGGTATATCTTTGTAAGTGCGTTGTGTGTTGTAAACATACAAGATTGCATGTGCTGGTACGTGTGAGTTGGCAGCTGTCCTCTGTACACGATGTTGTCGTACACTGAAAGGAATGTTAAGAAAATTTCTTACAATTATCAACCAGGGCAAAAAAAACAGTAACACATTGGCTGCGTTCTGCAGGCACGAGAGAGGGGGGGGAGGGCGGTAAATAGGAACCTTCCCCCAACTGCGTTTTTTGGATCAAACGCCCGGTCAGCCCGGAAAATGGATCCGAGCCCCCCATTTACCCTCCGAACGTAAACGAAGGTAAATGGCAACAGAACAGCCATTTACCCTCATGGATATGTGGGCGTAGGAAGCTGCTTATTTCCCCACCCCACCTTCCTTCTCTGGCAAAATTTGTCTCCTTCTCCCCCCCTTCCGAAAACTGCTCTTGCCCGGGATGTGAGACGGAGGGGGGAGGGAGGTCCTGGGTTAGGGAACACCACACTTGAACCCTGGAAAGCAAACAGCCCCTCCTTTGAGTCGCCCTAACAGGGACGCGTCAAACTAACAGCTAAAAAAAAGGTTCGAATCAGCGGGGTTTGTGTCTTGCTGGGGGGAGTGCAGATAGGGACCTTTTTTACTACGTGGTAACCCTTCTCAGAAGTTCAACCCTTTTCCAGATTTCGCGCAGCTCTATCTACCCAACTTCTGAGAGTTGGAAATTGTGGCTGTTTTTTCGGCATTTACCTTCAGCAGCTTTGCACCCTAAACTCGAAATTTCCAACTCTCGTTGTAGCGGGGGGGGGGGGGGGGGGGGGGGGGAGGACTTGAAGGGGAAACTGTCTCGGAACCCTCGTCATTTCCCTTCGCCCCCCCACCTCCCTCCCAAGGGAAATGCCTACAGAACGCAGCCATCAATTGACAAAATGTATGCATTCATGACAAAATTCTGAACCCTTTAGACTTGAAAGGGCAGCACATAAGAAGTTTGATCCAGACTCCCCAACTGCTCATCTCACTGACATACTTCATTCTCTGTAACACGACTACATTACTCTTTACTGCCCAACCAGCCTTCTCTTGCACACACCTTTACTGTAACGCGTCAAAAATCTGGATTTCAGGCACACTTCCGACAGCAGCACTTCACTGAAACAGCCACTCGATCTAATACCCTCCCGCCCGACCGAGGTTGACAAACCTGCTAGCGTCCCCACCACCACCACCGCCGCCACCACCCCTTCCTCCCCTCCCTCCACCATCTCCCCCTCTATACCCCCCTCTTCCCCCACGCCCTCCCCTTCCTCCCCCATCTCCCCCTCTATACCCCCCTCTCCCGCCCCCACCACCTCCTCCCCCACCGCCGCCCCATCCTCCTCTCCCTCCCCCCCGGCCGCCATACCCGCCTCGTCCTCCCCCTCTCCCGTACCTCTCCCCGCCCCCACCACCGTAATCATCCCTGCGCCCGCCTCCATAGTCCCCGCCTCCGTCCTTGCCCCGCCTGCCCCCGCCTCTCTCTCCCCCTGCGCCTTCGATGGTCATGCCGCCAGTCTTCTCTGAGAAGGCTCGCTCGTTGCCCTCCACAAGAACTGATAGCTTATCGGCGTACTGTAATGAGTCAAAAGCAGGGGAAAGAAACGAAAATGGTTGATAGGGAGGAGGAAAGGAGAGTGAGAAGCGGCAGAGGCTTTGGAAAGGCACCCTCGCTACCTCCCACCAGGATCGATAGCCAATCGGAGTACTGACGCAGAATCAGAAGCAAAGATGAGGCTGGTTGTCAGTCTCTAATTAACACCAGACAATGCAAAAAGAAAAATGAAACAGGAGCCACATGGCTATAAGCCACACACAGACTGCACATGACTTTTACGGCACCTCAGAAGTCGAAAACTGAAGCCGCAGGGCTAGACCCTACGCATACACTGCACATGCAAGTTCCAGAACCCCACCTGCAGGGCGAGGTGCTGCAGGCGCGTGGGGTTGACCGCGTTGACCACGATGCACTTGGAGGGCTGGTCCCAGCTGGCACTGATCTCCTCATTCATCATCATGCGGCTGGCAACCCCTGTCACTGCCTTCTCCGTCATGCCAAACATCTGTAGATTGAGGGAATAGCAAACACAAACACAGGGGGAAGGAGGGCGGTAAGAGAGTGCGAGGGCTGGTCCCAGCTGGTGCTGATTTCCTCATTCATCATCATGCGGCTGGCCACGCCCGTTACTGCCTTCTCTGCCATGCCAAACATCTGTAAGTGAAGATGCAGATGGGTAGATGCAGGGAATGAGTGAGTTGGCATGCAGATGGGCACTGATCTATTCGCTCTCATCATCACGCAGCTTGTCACGCCCGCCACTGCCTTCAACCCAAACATCTGCTCCCAAAGAAAAACACAAGGGGATTGCAGCTCAAGGCAGAGCATCCCCAGCACCTCCTCCCTCTTTCGTTCCCCTCCTTCAAACCCTTAATATCCGCTGTTAAATCTCTCCAAACCCTCTCAACCCACTCAACCGCTCAATCCGCACTGGTCCCATCTTTCAACCCCCTCCTTCGAACCCCTTTAAATCCGCCACTCATTCTCACCCAACCCCACCAACTCCCTCACAACCCCACCCAACCACACTCAACCCTACCAAACACCCACCTGTGTGAGCTGGTTGAGACTGATGGAGGCATAAGTGGATGACGCGTTGAAGAGGAACGTCCTGAGAGCCCCCTGCTGGATCTTGCCTTGCAGCATTCCCAGCACGGACACCCTCTGTGCCACCAGCAGCAGCTTCCACACGTCCAGCGCCTCACCCATTCAGCTCCCCCTTTGAGCCCCTTAGTGCCCACCCATTCCCACCCATTCCCACCCAACCCAACCCAAATCCATCCTGTCCCAGGCAGCCCCAACCAATCCACACCTGCGTCAGCTGGTCAAGACTGATGGAAGCATAAGTGGACGACGCATTGAAGAGGAACGTCCGCAGTGCCTCCTGCTGGATCTTGCCCCTCAGCATCCCCAGCACGGATTCCCTCTGCGCCACCGGAAGCAGCTTCCACACGTCCAGCGCCTCTGCCAGCTGCACAGCTCGCTGCCAGTCGCCACACATGAGCGCTCTAGAAGCAGCCATGACATGATCCCTGACATTCTCTGCAGGGAGAGAGAAAGTGACGGAGCAGGATCGGCAGGAGGGGAAGACGGGGTTGGAGAAGAAGCCGCTTCCAGACGTCCAGCGCCTCTGCCAGCCGCACGGCCCTCTGCCAGTCGCCGCACGTGAGAGCCTGTGACGCTGCCATGACGTGATCCCTCACGGTCTCTGTAGGGAGGGATGGAAAAGAGGGGAAGAGAAGGGTTGCGGTAAGCAGGCAGCAGCTTCCACACGTCCAGCGCCTCTGCCAGCTGCACGGCCAGCTGCCAGTCGCCACACATGAGCGCCCATGGTGCCGCCATCACATGATCCCTCACGTTCTCTATTTAGAACAAAAAGGTTGGGGCAGGAAGGGGAAAATGGGGAGGACAGGAACAAGAGGGTTGAGGCAGCAGCTTCCACACGCCCAGCGCCTCTGCCAGCTGAACGGCCCTCTGCCAGTCGCCACACAGCAGCATGGCGCACAGCAGATGCACCGCCTCCAGCAGCTCCAGATTCACGTGCATGTGGTACGGCATCTGCCCAGCACTACCAACCCCCTCTCCCCTCAGTACTCCCCCCACTGGAAAATCGCCCTAAAAGGACGCCAGGAAAGAGAATATCCAGGGGGGGAAGGAGGGAGGCGGGAAAGGGAAAAGGCTTACCCGGAGGGCCGGTGAACGTCTGGCGCTCGTACATATCGAGCAACCGGCGGAAATTCTTAGAGATAACGCGCCTACGCCCGTCAGTGGAGTGTGCGGCCAGCGACGGCACCTCCAGCAGCATGGCGCACAGCAGATGCACCGCCTCTAATAACTCCAGATTCACGTGCATGTGGTACGGCATCTGCCGGCGCCGCTCCACGCGCTCCTGCTCGGGGGTCTTCTCGTGGAACCGCGACTGAGACACGCCCTGTGCGAGGAGCTCCTTCACGCGGCCGCCGGCGAAGAGGTCGGCGAGGCAGCTGTGGGCGTCGGGGATGAGCCCCCTGCGGAAGGCTGCGAGTCCGAGTTGGGCCATGGCGCGGTTAAAGAGAATCTGCGTGCTGATGTCCATCTGCTGCACCGCGTCCTGTTGGGTGGGATGAGGGGCGGGGGGGAAAAGGGTGTGCGCGAGAGGTTGATATGCCTCATCTTCACACCCGTTAAAAGCCTTTCTCATCCCTGGGGTACTCGAAAGCCCGTCTCATCCCTCAAACCCCTCCTGAAACACCCCCTTTAAACCCTCAACCTCCCCTGCAGGCAGCAGTCAGACGCCCCTTCTAAAACCCTACCTGGAGGTGGGAGATCAGCATGAGATCGCGCGCAGTGTGGTACTCGTCGTTGATGGCGTGGTGGTAGATGTCGCACAGCATCGCGCGCGCCTTGCTGCGCTCCTCTCCGTGCGCGTACACCACCGCCAGCAGCGCCTTCATCATCGCGCGCCCGCTCTCCGGGAAAACCGGCCACCGCGGAACCGCCTCTGGCGTCGGGATGAATGCGGGCGGCCCGTACGAGTTCACCGCGATCGCGGCGCGGCGTTTGGCGTCTTTCGCGGCGGCGGACTCGGGCTCGTCGTCTGGGGAAGCGTCCTCGTCGCCTGCTGCTGCGGCGGCGGCGTCCGCGGGGGTTTCGGCGGCGGCGGCGGCGGCCACGGCTGCCTGCTGCTGCTGCTCCGACATCAGGCGCAGAGCTGCATACACGTTCTGCGGGGACGCGAAGGGGTGCATGGCGAGAGATGGGGAGCGAGGGGGTGTGTGGGGAGGGATGGGGAGCGAGGGGGTGTGTGGGGAGGGATGGGGAGCGAGGGGGTGCGATGGGGAGGGAGGGGGTGCATGGCGAGCGATGTGGAGCGATGGCATGCGTATATAGACAGGAGGGGAGGAAAGAGGGGGTTGAGATGAAAGAGGAGGGAGAGGAAGAGCGGGGGAGGAGGGGGGAAACGAGAGTGCTCGAAAAAAAGGGGGGAGAAAGTGCAGAGACGTGACGATGAGGGAGGGGAAGGGGGGAGCGGGAGGGGAATCCGCGAGAACAAAAACAGAAGGAAGAACAATGCTACAAAAAGGACAACGAAACCCTAATCTAAGAACACGAATTAAGACGCAAAATATTAAAGCACGACGATGGGGAGGGGGGAGGGCGCCGACAGGGGGGGTTGGTGGGTGACGAAGAGGAACGACGGAGAGAGGAAGAGAGAGATGAGGAGGAATGGGTTACCGGAGACATGTGGTAAACATAATCGACCAGGGACGCGCTTTGTGACGCCATATAAAAGCGGCAGAAAGCTAACCCAAGAGAAGGCTAACCCCGTTGGAAACTACCCGTTAGAAGGCTAACCTGAGGCTTGTAGTAAATGTGCTCGCACAGACGACGAGCCGCGCGCGACGCGCCCTTGGTGTCGCCCACGCGCAGCGCGTACGCCTGCGCGTTCGCCAGCGCGAGCAGCGTGGGCTCGTCCTTAAGCCGCTCTAAGTACGTCTTAGTGTAGGGGTCCGTGCACTGCAGGCTCTTAAACAGCTCGTCGTCCATACGCTCTACAAACGACACCACCGATCCCCACACCCGAATCTTCCCTTCATAGTCCGCGCCTTTCTGCGACTCGTTATCGTCCTCCACGACCTCGTAATTCTCGTCCAAAACAATGTTGTGGTTCCCCTCGAGAATGTCAAGAATCGTCATTATGTTCTCCGCGCATTTCTTCCAAACGGGGACGGGCAGATGCAGGTGAAGGTTCTGCGAAACATCGAATTGCGCGGAAACCACCTGCATCATCACTTCCAGTTTCTGCGCAGGGGTTTTTGCGACTTTAGCCAGGTAAGTCAGCTGCTCCACCTGCTCCACCCTATCCGTCCCCTTGCGACCCCTAGCGGCAATAATCTCCTTCAGCTTCTGATTGACCTCCTCCCACTTAATCTCGCTATGATCCCTCTGAAACTGCTTCTCCAACGCCCGATCCTTCTTGCTCTTCTGCGTCTCCCACCCCTCCCCTCCCTCCTCCTCCTCCTCATCCCCTCCCTTCCTATCCAACGGATCTTCCACCCCCTCCTCGTCCTCCTCGTCCTCATCCTCCTCTTCCTCCTCCTCGTCCTCCTCCTCCTCTTCTTCAGACTCCGGACTCGCTCGGAACTTCTCAATAACAGCCTCGTACAGCTTGTTATTCTTCTTCAGCTTCTGCTTCATGTAATTCAGAGCCTTGGCGTTGCTGCTGCTCATCTTCTTTTTCGCCTCTTTGTTCGTCAAAGCGGCGTTCAGGTGGTCTTCGAGCAGAACCACGCCCTTGATGTACGGCCGCGGGGGCACGGAGGACTCGATCAGGCGAAGCACCTTCTCCAGCTGCTTGTTCAGCTTTTCAAAGCTCTCCTGCGGGTATTGCAAAAAGAAAGTGGTGAAAGACGGGCAGGGCACAGGAAAAGAGGAGTTCAGGTGATCTTCCAGCAGCACGACTCCCTTGACGTACGGCCGCGGGGGCACGGAGGATTCAATCAGGCGCAGCACCTTCTCAAGATGCTTGTTCAGCTTCTCAAAGCTCTCCTGCGCGTAGTGCAAAAATAGAGTGGAAGAGGAGGAGACGAGGAACAACAACGACCAGAGGAATGTTTGAGTAGCTGTCTTCTCAAGGCACAGCGCCCTGAAGCACAACGCCATGGATGTACGGCCACGGGTGGTCGGAGGAATCGCCCCCACTAATTTCCAAATTATCGTGATAACGGTAACATGACTACAGTCCGAACTACCGCTGTACGCCATGGCCGGAGATTCACAGCTGCACGTCATTTGGGAATTCCAGCAACATCGGGCACGGAAAATCCATTCTGAAGGTGATCCATTCTTAAAAAACCGTACCTGCAGAGCGACCCAGTCGTTAATCTTCATCTGGTTCTTAATCTGCTCCACCGTCGACACCATCTCGTCGTACCGCTTCTCCCGAGCCGGCCGAACGACGCGCGCGCGACCGTCGTCGCTGTCCTCGCTGTCGCTGTCGCCCTGTCGCAGGTAGATCGACGCTCGCCCGGCATCGCCGGCGGCCTTGGGAGCATCGTCTTCTTCCTCCTCCGACTCTTCCTCTTCGACTTCTTCCTCCTCCTCCTCGGACTCGCTGTCAGACTGCAAAGAGAGTTGGTGGAATGGAAACATTAAAAGTTGGGGTTTCAGTAACAGGATTCTCCTCCCGTCTCCTCCGACACTACTCTTCAACTTCTACCTCCTCCTCGGACTCGCTGTCAGACTGCAAGGGGATGTGGTGGGAAAATAGATCAACATGTCAATGACAAACTTATCCTATTCTTTCTCCCATCCCCTACTCCCCCGAATCATCCTCTGCTCATCTTCGAACCTACTCTGACTCCTCATCCTATACAATGACTACTTCACGAATCCCCCTCCTCCGAACGTCTCACTACTAAACGTAACAATCTCATCGCCCTCCTCCTCCAATTGATTGATCGAACGCATGCGGGGAAGCTCAGTGGAAAACTGCGAAAAATGGAACGGAAAATTAGGGTTCATGTTACTCTAAACTTGGTAGAGTTCATCGGACTCTCTGTCAAGCCAATTGATTCTAGACGGACCCACACATCCGCTCCTCGATGGTTGACAATAATATAGAATTCCGATCCTTTTATAATTAGGTCTAGACGACTACGCAAAAAAATCACCGTCGATCTCCATGTAGTTTTTAGGATCAAACAGCATATCACCAGGTTCGCGATCGATCTACACATGGAGTTACAAGTTAATCAGACGGTTTAGACGTATGTCGTGGCTGATCGGACGATGCGCAACTAATCGTCTGCAACAACCTCATTCTCACAAGCTCGGCCAGTCTTAGTCTCACTAATGAGTAAAAAAAAAGTTTATCATCCACGCGTCTACCATCTACCGATCAGCGCGTCTGTACTTGAGAGGGAGTAAGCAATCAGGAATTCTCATCCACAGCCAGTACGCGCGTCTACTATCCACCTAAAATCGCACCTGCATCCAGAAACGGGACGCCATGGCTGCAGATGTCAGAGGCTCGAGTCGCGAAGACCGAGGTTCTGAATGGCGAATCGGGTGCTGCAGGCGGCCTGAGCACTGATAGCTCCTAGGGTGCCTGATCTGCTCCCTGGCAAGAGAGCAATAGAATCAGCAAGTACCGAACTTAGGGAGGTAAGACGGAGAAGCGAAAGCGGACAGATGGGGGAAGATGGTTCGGAAGGGGGATAATCGGGGAAAGCTTGTGGCGGGGTGATTCATGTTGAGCGGGAGAAAATGGAGAAACGGGGGGGAAGTGCGTCATCGGGAAACTACTGGTTTATTGATAAACAACGCTTTCAGCTAAGAGGAACCAGAGACGAAGTGCGAAAATGAAGCTCGAATTGCAAACCTCGATCTTCCCGTGAGTGTTGGTATGCCACCGCCTGCACTAAATTGTGATAACAGGCTACACGTGACTAACTAAAGCCGTAACACAAGAAATATAATTCGATTGCTTAATAACCCATACATTTTACCAGATGATTCCAATTGCAATCACTGCTCCCACAAGTCTGATCTGAGGGTTGCAATGCTGTGATGTCCTTAATAAACCCATCAAATTCGTTGACACAAGACACTGTTGCAACAACTGCTTTGCCGCACTGGCGCTCTCTCAAATATGGCACTATTGTATTGAAATCTATCAACATTGGTAGCTACCGACCGGCTACTGGGGGAGCAGAATTTACTCAAACTCGATCAAGGTCTCGCCCAGCGACACAGAGGCCCCAACCTTTACATATACAGCCTTTACAGTGGCCGCCTCCTCAGCACGTAAAACATTCCGCATCTTCATGGCTTCAATTGTTATCAGCTCATCGCCAGGAAGCACCTGTTGGACAACGAAATGTACAAGTTCCAAGACAATGCCAAGTGAAAATTGTTGCCGAGTGGTGTTTGGTGACTAAAGCATGCAGGTAGTTGCCAGCTGCATAGCTTTGCATGTGCATGGCCTTGAGAAATGGACCATTTTCCTCACCTTCTTGTTTGGCTTGACACCAATTGCAACCACTGCACCAGGCATAGGAGCCTTGACCATCTGCATAGGCATAAGGAGAGAAAATGGGGAAGAAAGGCTAGGAGATTGAGTGGATGGATACATATGCACGAGAGTACTAGCGTGAACACCTTCAAAGAGAAATGACTGTAGACGGGCTCCATGGAATTGTGTACCCACCACGCGACAACAACTTAAAGAAAATGTAAGGAATTGGTATAGATTGGAAACATGCAAGATTAGATAACGCACCTTGGACACATCTTGGACCTTCTTGGGCGGCATCTACTTCTGCAGAGGACATTGTACCCTAAAGATATGCACGATCAAATCTCACCTTTGATACGTCTTGAACCTTCTTGGGCGGCATGTACTTCTGTAGAGGCGCCACCTTCTTCTGATGCACCAGCACCTCGTCCTGTTGCAGTCAGCGTGGTGGGGGAGAACACATGAGGGAATCAGAGACAAGAGGGACGAGTGGGAAACTTTTGAGTCGACTCAAAAGTCATCTCTTCTTCTGATGCACCAGCACCTCGTCCCGTTGCAGTCAGCGTGGTGGGAGAACACATGAGGGAATCAGAGACAAGAGGGACGAGTGGGAAACAGGAGGGAGTGGGAGGAGGAGGGAATGGGGGAGAGGAGAGAGGGGAGGGAGGAGGAAATAGGAGGGAGAGAGGGCAGAAAAAGAAAGCGGAGAGAATGTGAAGGAGGAAGGAATAAGAAGGAGGAAGAAGAAATGGGACAGCGGGGAATGGGAGGGAGGAGGAAATGCTTGGGAGGAGAAAATAATGGGATTTTACCACACCATGGACATCACCAAAACAAGATGATGTCACTCAGGAGAGCATACCTTGGTGCAGCCGTCATATACGAGCTTGAACCCTCTCGCATGCTTCTCCATGACCATACACACGGTATGCTGAATCTTACAGAAAGAGGGAAACTTAACCAGAACAGCGCACCTTGGTGCAGCCGTCATATACGAGCTTGAACCCTCTCGCATGCTTCTCCATGACCATGCACACGGTGTCCTCCCCATCCACGCGGATATCCACCACCCCTCGCCCCAGCCCCACTGGCACTGCCTCCTCCACCCGAATAACCTCCCCTCCCACCTCTATGTCCTGTCGGGGAGCAGGGGATAATCACGGGATTATGGGGGTGTGAGGAGGGTAGAGGTGATGTGGTGGTGTGAGGAGGGAAGGGGTAATATGGGGGAATGTGGAGGACAGGAGGGAACGATGAGAGATGAGATTAGGAAACCTCAGCAAACGGCAGGAGAAGGTGACAGTGCGAACAAAAGATAAGAACTGTGGCAGACACTCAACAGCGACACAGAGGTGCGGCTTCTTCTCGTTGCTCCAATGCCGCACCACCACAGGATATTCCACCCCATCCGAACTCACCATCAACTCTGCCACCCGCCTGTAGACACCTACTGTAACACGGAAACAAGAGAAGCACTCACAGCGACACAGAGGTGCGGCTTCTTCTCGTTGCTCCAATGCCGCACAACCACAGGATATTCCACCCCATCCGAACTCACCACCAACTCCGCTTTCCCCCTCAGCCCCTCCCCCCCATCCTCCTCTCCCTCCTCTCCCCCCCCCTCTCCTTCCTCCTCCGCCCAACCGGCGTGTGCCAGGTGCCCGTTTCCTATTGCGCCGGGCGTGCCAGGGGCGGCAGCGTTGACAGCTAGCAGAGACCTCCGGGATTTGACAATGTCGAGAAAGGCTGCAATAGCTGCAACTTCTTTCTGTGTGGGACGGGCGATGAGGAAGATGCGCGCAGGAAGAGACGAAGGGAAAGGCACAGAGAGGGAAGGGCGCAGGTGACACAGAGAGGAAGTATGGACGAGGGGAGTATGGACGAGGGGAGTATGGACGAGGGGAGTATGGACGAGGGGAGTACGGATGAATCTGTGAAGCTGCAGCAATCTGGTCATGATTGTACTGCCGCTTCCCACGCTCACCTCCTCTCTGGGCGTCAGTCTGTCGTCTGTGAAGCCATTCGGGTAGTGAATGTTCAGGAAATTGGGTGCTGATATCGCCCAAATCAAACGCCTGGGGCAGCAGGAGAGAGCCCAGAGGCCCACACACTCTCACCTCTTCCCACTTCGACTCTCACCTCCTCTCTGGGTGTCAGTCTGTCATCTGTGAAGCCATTCGGGTAGTGGATGTCCAGGAACTTGGTGCTGATATCGCCTGACTCAAACGCCTGCGGCAGAAAGAGAGAAAAAGGAAGGGCCATGCAAAGAGAGAGGAACGGGTTTTGATATTGGGGCACGAGGCACCTCGGAACAGAGTAGTGCATGACTCTGAGGGCAGACAACTAGGCACCTCTGAGGGCTTGCCTGCCAGCTCTGCCAGAGCGAATTATCTTGGCAAGTTTGCATGGGAAAGCACACATAGACGTTATAAAGAGTGAGGTATATGCAGGCAGCAGAGTGGCAAAGTGCGCGCAGTGCAGTGCAGTTTACCGGCTGTGAGAAGATGCAGCGGAGGAAGGAGATGTTGTTGAACGGCCCGCACACGTAATAGCGGTCCAAGGCGTGCTGTGGAGGATTTGAAAGAGTGGTGTGGGTGGAAAGGGGGGAGAAGCAGAGGGGAGAGGTAGAGAGAGAGAGCAGGCGTGGAAAGGAAGGAGATGTTGTTGACTGGCCCGCATACTTAGTATTGGTCCAAGGCGTGCTGGGAAAGCTATGTGGTGTGTACTTTTGAGAGTTCTCAAAAGTCCAAGGCATGCTGGGAAAATGTACTTTTGGGAAGGGGGGGAGGAGGGGGGGTGAGGGGAGGGGCAGAAAGGTGGAGGTAACAGGAGGGTGAAGAGGAGGTACAAGGATTTGATGTTGAAAGGCTCACACACATGGTAACAGTCCAGGGTGTGGACGGCAGAGAGCCAGAGGAGAGGAGAGGAGAGGTGGAGAGGAGAGGAAAGGAGAGGAAAGGAAAAGAAAGATGTTCAGGAGCACAGTAAATCCAGCACAGTACACCAGGTGCAGATGAGCCTTATTGTTGGTACAACCACTAACTGAGACGCCTTCTCAAACAAGTCAGCCGGTCCCAAACAGAGAATCTCGCCCTCTTTTACAGACATATGGCAGCAATCGAGCTAACCGTTACCAAGGGCGAGTTTGGAAATGGCTCCACACTCCGTTACGAGTTTTGCTGTACCTTCATGGACTCTAGGGCGTCCTTTCTGGTTGGGCCCCACGTGATCAGCTGGTTGGATGAGATGGGGAACAAGCGTGCAAAGGGGAAGGAGGTGGTGTTGAAGGGTCTGTATGCAACAGTCAAGGGAGTGCTTGGGAGAACCACAGCATGGACTCTAGGGCGTCCTTTCTGGTTGGGCCCCACGTGATCAGCTGGTTGGATGAGATGGGAAGAAGTGGGAGGGATGGGATGGGCGTAGGATGATGTGATTAATAGCAAGGAGTTAAAAGATTTGCCACAATGCAGGGTGATGGTGCATGAAGATAGTGTGGCACAAACACCTTCAACATCGAGCCATGCTGCATGGGAACACACCTTGGAGAGCAGTGGGTCGTAGTACATGGAGACTTACTGCCCCTCCACTGGCCCTGTGTCTAGCCGCACACCATTCCGTTCGGCTCGCTCACAAGTGCCATTGCCAGTGCGAGCAATGTTGCATAACAACACACCTTAGAGAGCAGTGGGTCATAGTACATGGAGATGTACTGCCCTTCCACCGCCCCTGTGTCTAGCCGCACGATCTCAGTCGGCGTCCGCACCTCCTTGGGCTCCCGGTACCTGCGCAGCTTGCCCGTGGACCTGGTTGGGGGGAGGTGGGGAGATAAGATAGGAGAGGCGAGGAGAGGAGAGGAGAGGAGAGGAGAGGAGAGGAGAGGAGAGGAGAGGAGAGGAGAGGAGAGGAGAGGAGAGAAGAGGAAAGGAAACAAGGGGAGGTGAGGAGGAAGCAGAAGAGGACGAAGGGAAAGTGATGCAGTGCACCATCTTACGTGCACTTGCACTTCACTGGGCTCCCAGTCCCAGAGGACCGCCGTAGAGGCCTTTGGGTTCTGTTCGAGGGGACAAGTGACTTGTGTGACAAATGACTCACGGGAGGAAGTTCATGAAGGGGTGCTCGCAGTAAACCCGGGACTCCAACGCCCACCCGTGGATCTTCCTCGCCCTCTCCTGGTCGATGGGCAGCGTATGGCCGGCAGCGGAGTGGAACATGAGGTGCACGAGGTCGAGACCCGTGACGCACTCCGTGACTGGGTGCTCCACCTGCAGGCGCGTGTTCATCTCCAGAAAGAAGAAGTTCCGCTGCGCGTCTACTAGAAATTCCACCGTGCCTGGAGGAAAGGGGCGGGAGAGAGAAGGGAGAGAGGGGGGAGAGGAGTGGAGGGGAAAGGAGTTGAACATGAGGTACACGAGGAGCAGCACGCAATTGTCTGTTTTGGAGGCAGCTCAAAAACAGTATGGCCGGCTGCGACATGGAACATAAGGTGCACGACGTTGAGCCCTGTGACACACTCCGTGACCGGATGCTCCACCTGCAGGCGCGTGTTCATCTCCAGGAAAACGAAGTTGCGTTGGGCGTCCACAACGAACTCAACGGTACCTGAGGGAGGAGGTGAGAGGGAAGCAGATAGGAGAGAGGGAAAATAACGACAGGCAACAAAGATTGCTCCACCTGCAGGCGCGTGTTCATCTCAAGGAAGAAGAAATGGCGATGTGCCTCTCATAGGAACTCCACCGTGCCTGGAGGGAGGAGGGAAGAGATGGAGGCGAGCAGAGGGGAGAAGGAGGGAAGGAGGGAGGCGAGGTGGGGACAAGGTGTGCAGGTGTGTGATGCTCTCCGTGACTGGGTGCTCCACCTGCAAGCGCATGTCTAGTTGGAGACTTTTGAGACGTCTCAAAAGTCACATCTCAAAACGAACTTCACTGTGCCTGGCTGGATGAGGGGTAGAGGAACGGGACTGCAGAGTCGTAAACGACCCCCTTCGCCATCAACACTGCGAGTAACGTAATCAGCGTATTCCTCTCCCTCTTCAGCTACAGATGCACCAGCACAGCCCCCACTTCCCCACCACCACACATACCAGCAGAGTCATAATTCACTGCCTTGGCAAGGGACACGGCCTGCTCTCCCATGGCCTCCCTCGTGGCCTCGTCCAGGAACGTGCTGGGTGACTCCTCTATCACCTGGCAATCAAGGGTTGAGAGGATTGGAGGGAGGGGTTGTGCAGGAGTGCAAGTGAGATGATGCACCTGGCGTCCCTTGCCTCGTCCAGGAACATGCTGGGTGAGTGATTCCTCGCTCACCTGCCGGTCGAGATTCCAGACGGTTTGGGGATCGGAGACGTGAGCAGCAGGCTGATACCCATAACATCCCACCATGTGCCTTTCCAAGTGGTTTCGTCCAACGACGTCGTTCCAGCTTTTGATCTCAGCTTTTTCTTTTACCTCCTATTGCAAGCACGGAACGCACCTTTTGATTTCGCCTTTGAATGGAGCATTCTCTTTCCGGTAGCCAAACCTGGACGCAACCGGAAAAGACACTCAACACCACACCATACCACACCACAACACAACACACCACGCCGCACCACACCACCACATCATATGACAACATGGTACGACACAACAAGGCACGGAACAAGCACAGGACCAAGAGACAGGCAGAAGACCTTGCCACGTGAGAGTCCTAGCATGGCACAGGCAAGGGCAGACAACAAATCATCACATGCACAAAATTGTGACTAGAAAATAAAGCGCTCGAAGGTCCGCAGAAAGAAAGAACTATTTTTGAAACGGAGGGGAGCGGTCATTCAACGAGCACAGATAACTGTAATCTGGGCTGGGAGGAACGGGAGGAGCAAGAAGCATCACGCACCACATTGCCGTGCTTATCCCCCATGACCTGCACTTCGATGTGCCTTGGCTTGTCTATGAACCTGCCCACGTCATTCGGAGCAGGAAACGGAACAGAGAAGAAGACGGTTCTTCGTGGTTCAGCTGGCTGTCGAAAACGCTGATGGGACTCCTTATCATTGATGAAAACAGTCGTAACTTGAAAAGAAAACGTTCAGAAAGCTGCAGGCAGACCATTCGATGAAGATGCGGTCGTCAGCAAAGCTGGATGAGACCTCCGCCTTGCACACAGGCCTCTCCACACAGATATGCTATATATTTCAGGCGCCTCAAAGCTACCAGCTGCAGACAGAACAAGCTGCGCCCTGCTGACAGACGGACCTTTCGACGAAGATGCGGTCGTCAGCAAAGCTGGATGAGACCTCCGCCTTGCACACACTGAACTGCTCCCGCACCTCCTTCTCGTTCCTGCACTTATGGGAGCAGGGGGGGAAAAGGGGAGGCGGTGAGCGAGAAGGGAACAGGGATTTGGAGGATATGATGCGAGCTGGTTTTTGAGAATTCTCAAAAACCAGATTTGGAGGATATGATGCGGAGGGCGGCAGGGAGAGGGGGATGCGAAAAGAGGGGAAATTCCCTCCAAAACCATGTAACACCCACTAATTCGCCTGGATTTCTCACATACATCCCTAACTATATAACCATTCCCACTCCTCACCACGCCACCCACCCCCCAACCCCCACCATGCCACCCGCCCCCCTCACCACATCACCCTCACACCCCTACCATGCGACGCGCATGCCCTTGCCTCCTCCTCCACCTGACGCCTTGAGCATGACTGGAAAGCCCACCTCTTGCGCTGAGGGAAAGAGACGAAGATAGGATATGGGATATGGGGAACGGGTGGTGGAAGAGTGGGGGCTCTCGGGGCGGTGAGAGAGGGATCAGTGTGAAAGGATTGGCGTTTGAGGGGGTAGAGCATTGAGCACGATGGCGCAGACGGAAGTGAAAACAGCGTAAAGTTCATGCATATTCCTTTGAGTAACTTAGAGATGGCGGATTTGCTGATATGGAAGAAGACTGCCCTCAAAATATGGCAATCAGAGAAGCAGGAAGGGGAGGGTGAAGGATGAAGTTATGCTTCTCTCCACCCTCACCAGCATGGTCTTCCTTCACTGGGCAAGATTTGTTGGACACTCACCGATCTCAACCGCATGGTCCTCATCTCTAATGACGTCCTCCTTCCCCGGAATGGTGGTCACCTTGGCCTCCTTTGCCAACCGCTTGCTGTGAATCTGAAGGGAGAGCAGGCAGGAGCGGGACAACGATGTGGAGAGGCGGTCAGGGGAAGACGTGAAAGACCAGAGAAGCATGGAGGGAGAACCTCCGTGCTTCTAATGAGGCAGCACGGAGGGAGAACCTCCGTGCTTCTAATGAGTCAGCACGGAGGGAGAAAGGCAGCACGGTGCTTTTAATGAGGACGTACCGAGAGTACAAAAAAAAAAGGAGTTCAAATTATTGACATTTAATTAAATTCAGTGTCAGTGTCTCGCCACCATCCATGGTTGCTTCAGAAAAGCATTATACCTTTCGTTTTCTCTGTGAACAACATGGCACCCCACGTTCTCAGCTGTCCCAACAACCGCAAGCTTAGAGCCTGAAATCCTCAACCACAAGGGGACCCCACCTTCTCCCCTGTGAAGCCAACAGCACATTACCTTATCCCCCATGGCGTCAACCGCACCCCACCTTAAAGCACCTCACCTTATCCCCCATGGCGTCAACCGCACCCCACCTTAAAGCACCTCACCTTATCCCCCATGGCGTCAATGGCGTTGAGATTGGGCCCCACGAACGTCACACCCTCCTCATCCAGCCGCTCCACAAACAGGGCGTTCTCTGACAGGAAGCCATAGCCAGGGTGCACCTGGAGAAGGAGGAGGAGGTAGAGATGATCACTTGGTATCAAGTTGGAACCTGGACCTGGGAAATCAAAAGTGTCTCATCCAGCCGCTCCACACAAACATGGCGTCCTCCAACAGGAAGCCGTAGCCGGGGTGCACCTGAGCAAGGGCGGAAGAGGCGTGAAAAGCAATTGGTCAATCAACATCACTGCATCAGCCACTGTGTTCTAAGGGGCGCCCAGTACAACAAAGCATCTGTGTGATCAGTCCAGCACCTCCTCTAGTCCCTCGTTTTAGATCTTCACCATATCAAAACAATTACATGCATGCAGCACTCACCGCGTCAGCCCCTGTGCTCCTGATCGCTTCCAGCACAGCATCCGTGTTCAGATAGCTCTGCGATGTGCAGTCAGTTCAGAAAAGGTACACGGGTACTTGCTTGGGATACTCACAGCGTCAGCCCCGGTGCTCCTGATCGCTTCCAGCACTGCATCCGTGTTCAGATAGCTCTGCGCTGTTGGTGCTGGGCCCTGGCATGGAGAGAGGGGAGAGGTGGGGAACAGGAAGAGGGTGCGGGTGGGGGAGGAAAGAGAGATAGACGGATTGAAGAAGGAGAAAACAAGAAAGCATGACGGAAATGGGGAGAACAATAGTTTGGGGGTCAGAGGAAGGAAGTGAGCCACGGCAGGAGAGACTGAGAAGATGAAGTAGCGGCACGGAAAGAGCGAGAACAAGCGAGGCGGCAGTGCTGGAAGCCGTCATGTGCAGCTGACTTGTAGGACGTGCAGATCCGGCTCGGAGTGGATGGCCACACTGCGAATACCTTTAAGGCACCTCACAAACAGACAGCAAGCAGGCAGGCAGGCAAGCAGGCAGGCAAGCAAGCAGGCAGGCAGGCAGGCAGGCAGGCAGGCAGGCAAGCAGGCCTCACCACACAGACGGCTTCATCTGCCATGCGGACGTGCAGGCTCTCCACGTCGGGCTCGGAGTAGATGGCCACACTGCGAATGCCCAGTGCCCGCGCTGTCTTCATGACTCTACATGCTATTTCCCCCCTGTTCGCCACCAGCACCTTGGAGAAGAGCTGCAGTGCGGGGGGAAGAGGTGAGGTGAGGGAAATGAGGGGCATACACGACCTTCTGATATCCCCCCTGTTCGCCACCAGCACCTTGGAGAAGAGATGGAGTGAGGAGGGAGGAGGCACTGAGCTTGTCGTCAGAAATAGTGGGAGATTGCGCAACCCTATAGTAGACCAACTAAGGCTCCAACATGTGTGTTAGACTACCTTATTCCTACCTTCTCTTTCGGAATCTCGAGTTGACCAGCCGAGTCAGACAACCAACGCCGCTGGTGTGGCTGAAAAGGCGGCTGACGAGAAAACGGCTGATGAGAATAAGGCTGGCGAGAGTGCGGCAGCAGCGGCTGAAGGGAGGCATAGGGTGGCTGAGAACTTTGCAGATGCGCTGACGCGTCATGTTGCGCTGCTGACGTGGAAGACGCTGTGGATACGTCGTCGTGGCGTGTCGCGTGATGATAAAGGGACGACGTGGCGACACGTGTTGAGCGACCGGATTGTGCGAGACGCCTTGTACCGGGCGGGAGCCTCGAAAGACAGAATCTCCACATGATGTCAGAAATTTGAACACTCAACCAGCGAAGTATCAGCCAGTAATGCCAGTGACAGACGCTTGACGTTTAAAGAGTAATTAACAGCAACTAATCCTTCGCAGCCAACGATGAGGGACGCTCGAATGGCAGCCAGGAAATGTAGACGCTTCGCGGAGGTCGATATATGTCAAGAATATTCTGATAATATTCGGAGAATAATATCCTCCTCCGAACACGCTAGTAGCGCCTGAGCAGAGCAAAGAGGTACTTCTGCTGCTGCGCTGAAAACCCGGCCGCGTTGTTCACCGCTGTCGACCGTTCTAACCTTACTGCTTTTCCTTGTGGACTAGGACGGTGGTCGTAGAGGCGAGTTGAGAGCGATAATGGTTCCTAAAAAGGACGGATGGGAATGACGGGGCGCGATGATTGATGGAAGACGCTGCGTCAATTGTTTCGACGATTTTGAAAGGATTGTGGGTGCAGATACAAATTTCGACGATGGAATGGCGGGGAGAGGAGGATCGGTAGCGGAAAAGCGACACGGATGACCGCAACAAGGATGCGATAAGGTCGAGCCGATGCAGGCGGCTGTTAACTGCAAGAATCCGGCGAGAGGCTGAAGTAAAGGCGGAGCAGCAGGAAAGACTGACAACAATGGATCACTCGCTACTACCCTCTGGCCCAACAGCAGATACTCACACCGCGGCTGGCGATGCAAAACAGCTAACGGCCTACCACGAGAAATGTGCCTAATGAAATAGCACACTGAAATTTGTGTTCCTGAACGGAGTCAGGAGCAGAAAGGAGCCAGAGGGCAGGTACCCCTTCTCAACCTCCTCGCCACACAGCGATGCCTGGCGAACGTTCGGACAGCCAATCCTGAGGCTCCACTTTGATACGTAACCAGACCAGAAGGTTTCGCCGATGCACAGCACAACAATGTTTTCTGTGCCTCGGGATTGCCGCCCAGGTGCGGAATCAGCGGCTCTGTTCTGTAGGCCCTGGCGGTGGGTACGAGGGGAAATAGGTAGCTTCCCTCTCCTTCGTTTTTTGGTTTGGAACGGCTAACCGTTCAGCAAACGGTGCCGAGCCAGTCATTTCCCCTCCGAACCTGTTCGAGGGGAAATGGCTACAGAACAACCACTACCCTCTGTGGTTTAGGCTCCTAGGAAACTACCAACTTCCCCTCCCCACCTTCCTTCTCGGGCAAAAATCAAGCCACTCGCCCCGCCCTTCGAAACCTGCTTTTTCAGAGCGTGGCGAGACATGGGAGGGATGTTCCAGGGGGGGGACACCCACATTCTACCCTAGATAGACATGTACCAACGTCGCGCTTAACCCATCCTCTCAAGAACAACCCGCTCGTGAAAAACAAGGCCGAGCCATCTTGCACGACGTGGTTGGGAAAATGGTTTGGAGGTTTGCCTTTAGTTTTTCAAACGCTGAACCCCCCGGCAATGTTTTACACTCCTCATTAGGGTTGATCGATTCGATGTACCCATACCTATGGGGCGCGAAATTGAGCAGGTAAATGCGTCATTAACCGTCAGCAACTTCCTTCCCAGCTCCAGAAGTTTCGCGCTTTCGGTTGGGGTTGATTTCGACAGGGAAACTGCTTAGGAACCCTCGTCATTACCTTCGCCCCCCCTCCTGCCCCCCACGGCATGTGCCTGCAGAACAGAGCCAGTACTTTCGAACCTGGTGAGGTTGGGGGGAGATGTGGTACGGATTTCCTCCCCATGCCTTCCACCCCACAGCAATCACAACCCATCGGCATTCGAAAACCACGTCAGCAAGGAATTGCAGTTTGATACCTGGAGGGAACGGAATTCGAGTAAGGGGACACGCAAGCAGATAGCTTTGATGACGCAAAGCACTTGTGTTCCACCGGACGAACCGATCATGGGGGTGGGGACACCATGAAATAGCTGTAATTTACTATCAACACGGGGTGTACACTAAACGTAACAAACATAACTGACATCATAATCGTTTTCAGTTGATACCCCCATGTTCCAAGCTTTGTTGCTCTATTTAAATGCTCTGTCGCCTTGCAAACTTGCTAACCATGACTCCACATCTTTCACACCACGATGAGGTGGAAGATCAAGGGATTGGCAAGCTTTTGCATCTCGCCATCTCTGTTTTATGCTCAATGTGTGGCATGCGGGGGAGGCAACAAAAGGAGCACAAACCTCTTGGATATACCCATTGGCCCACAGCTACACTCAACCCAACAACCCCCCTACCTACCATTTGCCCAATTGGTGCCCATAATATGCCAAAGTAGCATTGTTGATGAGGGGCTGGCCACCATGCGTACGTCCAGTACAGGTTGTTTACACATGTTTACTATTTTCATAAGAAACTTCACATTTGCAAGCTCTACAAGGAAAATTAACTTCAGTGAGCTTATATATGTAACATAGTGAGCTCAACGTGGCTACTAAAGAACTTAACTACTACTGAAAAGTACTACCACAGCAACTGGGCTTACTGATGTCTACCATACCATCTTTCTCCCCTAAAACTGAGACTCGCTGGCCGTTTCCTCCTTGATGTCATGTCTGCCGCCATTGGCACACACTCATGCCTGCTACCCTCAGCCAGTTGGTACCCCCTGAAGCACAGGCACTCAAACTGGAGATACTCCTCCGAAGCAGATCCATAATCTGGTGGCGTTCCTGATTCATAATCCTCTAGAGTGGTCGCCGGGACGCACACGCCATGGCCCGAGCAAGGAGCACTGGTGGCATTGGTGCCGCAGAACGTGCTGCAGAGCTCAACTCGGTGCACGTACTTCATTGGGCAGACCTGATCGCCTGAAGCAAGGCAGTTCCACGAGGCAAGTAGCTTTGTGGTCGGCAAATCCAAGGGGGTGCCACTTGGCGTGTAATGATTGGGAGATTCAACAGGGCAAATCGGCTCGTCTCCCACCAGCACCTCCCCACTCCCGTAGAAGAAATTTCCTCTGAAATCAGCTGCGAAATCTTCATTTGGTCGGGCAAAGTCCGGCAATCTCCCCGAGAAGAAATTATGGGAGATGTTGAGGAAGCTCAGAGGGACGTTGACTAGGGCATCGCGAGGCACGATACCCACAAAGCGATTATGGCTCAGCGTGATACTATCGAGGTGTTCCATTCCGCGTAGCGCCGTCCACGGGAAGATTCCATCGAATCCGTTATAAGCCAGGTTGAGGTAGTTGAGCTGAGACCCATTTCCCAACAGGTTCCGTGGAATCTTCCCTTGCAACGCGTTGCCTGCAAGATTCAGCCCCGTCAGGTTCTTCATCTGCCCGAACTCCGCTGGAAAGCTGCCCGAGATTTTATTCCAGCTAACATCGATGTACTGTAGCGAAGGGTGCACCGCTAGTGGCGCTAACGAAGACGCATATAACGAGTTGCGATGAAGGTCAAGCACTTCCAGCCGCCGCATGGAGTTAATCGCGCTGAAAGGGAGGTCGCCCGAGAGGACATTGTGTCCCAGGCGAAGCGTGCGAAGTACGCGAAATTTGTCGAAACTGGAAGGTATGGATCCCGAAAGGCGATTGGATTCCAACGAAAGCTCCACAAGGGACCGCAGCGACGCGAGTTGCGGCGGGATGACTCCTTCCAGTCGGTTCGAGGCGAGGTCTAGCCACGTCAGCCGATGCAGTGTCGAAATCTCGCGAGGAATCCGTCCCGCGAGTCTGTTTTCGCTCAAGGAGAGGGTTACCAGGTTCGTAAGCTCGCCAATCCCTCGCGGAAGGTTGCCTGTCAGCTGGTTGTCCGAGAGGATAAGAATGGACAGATCCGTAAGCGCCGTGACAGTCTCTGGAAAAGTTCCCGATAATCCGTCTCCGTTTCCCGAAATGTACAGCTCCCGTAAGAACCGAAGGTTGCTGATTTCGGCAGGAAGCGAGCCGGTCAGATTGTTCCCCACGAGGGTGAGGCTCTCGAGGGCCGATAGGTCGCCGAAGTTGGGCGAAATACTTCCGGTAACCCGTGACGAAATGAGCATCACCCCGTTGACGTCGCCATTGCGGGTGCAGCTGATGCCCGACCACTTGAAGCAGTCCGCTCCTGAGATCCACGAATCTGAGCCGTCGAATTCGCCCCATTCGGATTTTATCGCCAGAAGCACGTCTTCTTGGGAGGGTTCTATCACGGCTGCTTCGGATTGATGAGGCAGAAGCACGAAATGAGCTACTAATAATGCTAACATTACTGCTGCCCTGAGGTAGGGAGCTCTGGCAACGTGGACCAATATCGAGAAACGACGTGACTTGCGCACATGAAGGTGAGCTGCCATGACTATCTGCTGTGCTGGTTGGGTTTCCTTGGGATGCACTAACACACACGAAGCGTAGTTTCTACGCTTGACCTGGCAAAGTAGGTGACATGAATAAGAAAGCGGTAGTTACGCCGAAGTGATATAGCTCTCGAGATCGGTGTGGAGTCATGGATGGATAGTGTGGTGTCAACCATGTGGGTCTAGACTCTAGAATGCAAACAAGCGGTTTCTGGCTGTGGAAGTGAAGGGTGTGAGCGAGGGCCACCCACCCACCCTGTTGCGGTCGGTCACATGTGACAAATGAACGTCAGCGATGACAAGCGGGAATGCGAAGTTGGGATCAAAATGTTCACCTGACTTGCGGTTCGAATGTTCAACCTGATTGGGCAGAGGTTCCAAATCTCGCATCGCTCGATTGTCGTTGAACAGTAAATTCGTGTGGCGAAATTTGGAACGGCGGGAGATGGGATTCCCGTTCAAAGCCCGAGGTCAGCATGGCAAAGCGTTTTTGGTTTCTAGGGTTTTAAACACTAACTGGAAGAGTAGCGAGAACTGCTTTCGTTGAGAGTACCCTGGCGAAGCAAAACACATGTTCGCCACACCTCTTTTTATTCGACACAACAGCTACAACTTATTTAGTCGCGACAGACTCCGACCATTGCACACCAGCTAGGGTTTTTTAGTGAACACGATTCTGACAACTTCCATTAGTAGGGAAAGCGCGTATATGCAAACAAAGGGAAGCGCAGGTGCAAGATGCGAGTGTGAAGCACGGAGAAAATGGGTGTGAGGAGAAGAGGAAGGGCCGCTTTGCCTACGTCGCGACCCTTGCCCGTCGCCCTTGCTTTCTCCGCCCACCGCCCTCGCCCCGCCCGTCGCCATCGCCGCCTCCCCGCCCGTCGCCCTTGCTTTTCCTCCGCCCGCCCTCGCTTCCTCCACCCGCGCTCGCTTCTCCCATCCCGTCGACCTCGCTTCCCTCGCCCATCCCCCTCGCTTCCCCCGCCCGTCGCTCTCGCTTTCCCCACCTAACCACTCGTCTCGCCTTCGCCCTCGCCGCCTCTCCGCCCCTCGCCCTCGCTTCCTCCGCCCATCTACCTCGCTTTCCCCCGCCCGTCGCCCTCACTTCCCCGCCCCATCGCTCGCCCCTTCATTCGCTGCTTCTTCCTTTTTGCGCTCAGTTTCCCTCCCGATTGCGCTCAGTCTCCCCCCCTGATTGCGCTCATTTTCCCCCCGGATTGCGCTCAGTTTCCTCTTGATAGCGCTCAGTTTCCCCCCCTGTTTGCGCTCAGTTTCCCCCCCTGATTGCGCTCAGGTTCCCCCCCTGATTGCGCTCAGTGACCCCCCCTGATTGCGCTAAGTTTCCCCTCCGGATTGCGCTCAGTTCCCCCCTGATTGCGCTCAGTTTCCCCCCCTGATTGCGCTAGGTTTCCCCCCCCTGTTTGCGCTCAGTTTCCCCCCCCTGATTGCGCTCAGTTTCCCCCCCTGGTTGTGCTCAGTCCCCCCCCCCCTTCCTGATTGCGCTCAGTTTCCTTCATAAATGTCCTCCGGCATCCCCCTGCGTTCCCTCCCCCCTTTCCTATCACTCCTTCACCCTCTCCCCTCTCTTTCTATCTCTGTCGATCCCTCCCCCCTCTCTTTCCCCCATGTCCCCCCTCCAATCCCATATTCCTTTCCCTCAATGCCCTCATGTTCCCCTGTTTCCACCCCTCTGGTTCCCCTGTTTACCCCCCTGGTCCCCCTGTCCTCCTCTCTTCCCCCTGTCCTCCTCTCTCCCCCCTATCCTCCTCTCTCCCCCCTGTCCTCCTCTCTCCCCCCTATCTTCCTCTCTCCCCTCTGTCCTCCTCTCTCCCCCCTTTTATCATCCCTTCCTCACTCCTCTCATCTGGTCCTCCCCTCTCTCATCCCTTCCTTCCCTCTCTCAGCCCTTCCTCCCCTCTCTTGTCCTTTTTCAACCCTGTTATTGTCTTCAACAGGCATGTAACTCGGAAGTGCTTGTGTGGTTTCACGACCATGTAACTCTATTTCATCGTTGCGCAGATGTGCGTTTTGCCGCAGTCACCAGTGCGTGACACTGGGCGGAAACCTGGAGGGTGCACTATTAGCCTCTGGGCGGCTTTCTAAATATTGCTGTCTGTCTCGGTTTCTGTCTTGCTTGCCCTCTGTTTTGACTGTGCCTTTCGCCAATTTCTCCTTGTCTCACCCTGTGACTCACCTGTGTTTGTCAAATGTTATAGCCCTTAGTGGGTCATACTATATGGGGTACAAACAATTAGGGTTAGGTACTTGTACCCCAACTCAATCAATGCAAGCCATTCCGCTGTTCTCAGTTACTAAGAGTGTTCCCTCCCTTCCCTGTATCTATTTTCCCTGTCCAGTCCTTCCCACCTTCCCTAACATTATGAGCTTTGCTTTACAGAATGGAGCAACCAAGTAGGATTTGATTTCATTTGAGGCTACTCGGTGCCCTCATTGTGCCCTCATTGATACTGTACTCAAGTTGCTGTTCATGCAGCTGTTATGGTAGCCTATAGTAGTATTGTTTGCAATCCTTGTACAGTAGATCAGGATACAAATCAGGCGATAAGATGTAAACCTTCTATACAAGTATCCTTTATTTGAGATATTACTACACGACACAAGCATGCAGTATCAGGATACTACAAGACAAGCTCGAACCATTACGCTAGTCTTGTGTGTATCCATTGTGAATCTGCAAGCTGTCCCATTATGCAATGTGGCTCGTCTGGGCCTTCGAGATGCTGAAAGCAGGAGCAAGGGGAGGCGGCACGTCCATGCAGGTCGTCTGGGCCTCTGTCATGCTCGCCTGGGATGGCGAGGGGTGAGGGGCGGGGTGAGGGGATAGGACAGGGAGGGGTGAGGGGATAGGACAGGGAGGGGTGAGGGGATAGGACAGGGAGGGGTGAGGGGATAGGACAAGGCGGGGTGAGGGGATAGGACAGGGAGGGGTGAGGGGATAGGACATGAAAAGGAAGGGAAGGAGGGCAGAGGGTGGGGGGAAGGAGGGCAGAGGGTGGGGGGAAGGAGGGCAGAGGGTGGGGGGAAGGAGGGCTGAGGGTGGGGGGAAGGAGGGCAGAGGGTGGGGGGAAGGAGGGCAGAGGGTGGGGGGAAGGAGGGCAGAGGGTGGGGGGAAGGAGGGCAGAGGGTGGGGGAAAGGAGGGCAGAGGGTGGGGGGAAGGAGGCAGAGAGGGGGGAAGGAGGGCTGAGGGTGGGGGGAAGGAGGGCTGAGGGTGGTGGGAAGGAGGGCTGAGGGTGGGGGGAAGGAGGGCTGAGGGTGGGGGGAAGGAGGGCTGAGGGTGGGGGGAAGGAGGGCTGAGGGTGGGGGGAAGGAGGGCAGAGGGTGGGGGGAAGGGGCTGAGGGTGGTGGGAAGGAGAGTGAGAGTGCGAGAGGACTGAGAGAGAGAGAGAGTGCGGGAGGAAGAGAGAGAGAGTGCGCGGGTGCAAGGAGAAAGAGAGTGCAGGAGGAGGGAAAGAGAGGAATGGGAGCGTGAGGGTGGGAAGGAATGTGAGAACGGAGGGGAGATGCCGGGAGGGGGATGGGGGGAAGCAGGGAGGGGGATGGGGGGAAGCAGGGAGGGGGATGGGGGGAAGCAGGGAGGGGGATGGGGGGAAGCAGGGAGGGGGATGGGGGGAAGCAGAAAGGGGGATGGGGAGAAGCAGGGAGGGGGATGGGGGGAAGCACGAAAGGGGATGGGGGGAAGCACGGCTGAAGATGGGGGGGAGCACGGCTGAAGATGGGGGGAAGCACGACTGAAGATGGGGGGAAGCACGGCTGAAGATGGGGGGGAGCACGGCTGAAGATGGGGGGAAGCACGACTGAAGATGGGGGGAAGCACGGCTGAAGATGGGGGGAAGCACGGCTGAAAAGGGGGGGACGCACGGCTGAAGATGGGGGGAAGCACGGCTGAAGATGGGGGGAAGCACGGAAGGGGATGGGGGAAAGCAGGGAAGGGGATGGGGGGAGGCAGGGAAGGGGATGGGGGGAGGCAGGGAAGGGGACAGAGGGAAGCAGGGAAGGGGAGGGGGGGAAGCAGAGTAGGGGATGGGTGGAAGCAGGGAAGGGGAGGGGGGGAAGCAGAGTAGGGGATGGGTGGAAGCAGGGAAGGGGATGGGGGGAAGCAGGGAAGGAAATGGGGGGAAGCAGGGAAGAGGACATGGGGCAAGCAGGGAAGAGGACATGGGGCAAGCAGGGAAGAGGACATGGGGCAAGCAGGGAAGGGGATGGGGGGAAGCAGAGTAGGGGCTGAGTGGAAGCAGGGAAGGGGGTGGGGGGAAGCAGGGAAGGGGAGGACCCTGGGGGAAAGCAGGGAAGGGGATGGGGGGAAGCAGGGAAGGGGATGGGGGGAAGCAGGGAAGGGGATGGGGGGAAGCAGGGAAGGGGATGGGGGGAAGCAGGGAAGGGGATGGGGGGAAGCAGGGAAGGAAATGGGGGGAAGCAGGGAAGGGGACATAGGGAAGCAGGGAAGGGGACATGGGGAAGCAGGGAAGGGGACGGGAGCAAGCAGGGAAGGGGATGGGGGAAAGCAGGGAAGGAAATGGGGGGAAGCAGGGAAGGGGATGGGGGGAAGCAGGGAAGGGGAGGACCCTGGGGGAAAGCAGGGAAGGGGATGGGGGGAAGCAGGGAAGGGGATGGGGGGAAGCAGGGAAGGGGATGGGGGGAAGCAGGGAAGGGGACATGGGGAAGCAGGGAAGGGGACATGGGGAAGCAGGGAAGGGGACATGGGGAAGCAGGGAAGGGGACACGGGGAAGCAGGGAAGGGGATGGAGGGAAGCAGGGAAGGGGATGGGAGCAAGCAGGGAAGGGGATGGGGGAAAGCAGGGAAGGAAATGGGGGGAAGCAGGGAAGGGGACATGGGGAAGCAGGGAAGGGGATGGGGGGAAGCAGGGAAGGGGATGGGGGGAAGCAGGGAAGGGGATGGGGGGAAGCAGGGAAGGAAATGGGGGGAAGCAGGGAAGGGGACATAGGGAAGCAGGGAAGGGGAGGGGGGGAAGCAGTGAAGGGGATGGGGGGAAGCAGGGAAGGGGATGGGGGGAAGCAGGGAAGGGGATTGGAGGCGGCATGGAAGGGGATGGGGAGAGTGGGAGAGGTAAGCAGCGTGGGGGAGATTTGCGATTATTGGGGGGAGGGAAGGGCGTGTGTAAGGGTAGAAAATGGAGGGTGACCAGTGTGCGGGATGGTAAGGGAGACGGGAGGGATGGCGAGGGCGACGCGGCGTGGATGGCAGGGCGGAAGGGAGGGCGCCGGACGGAAGGGAGGGTGACGGGCGGAAGGGAGGGGCGGAAGGGAGGGCCACGCTTGGATGAGAGGGCGACGGGCGGTAGGGAGGGCGACGGGCGGTAGGGAGGGCGACGCGCGGATGGGAGATACAACGCGCGGATGGGAGAACGACGTGCGCCAGGGAGGGCGACGGGCAAAAGGGTGGGTGACGAGCGGTGCGAAGGCGACGGACGGACCGTAGGGCGGCGAATGGAAGGGAGAGACGAGCGGAAGCGTGTGCGACGAAAGGAAACGTGAGTGACGTAAGGAAGCGTGGGCGACGTAAGGAAGCGTGGGCGACGTAAGTAAGCGTGGGCGACGTAAGGAAGCCATAGTGATGTAAGGAAGCGTGGGCGACGTAAGGACGCGACTACCGGGGGCGAAGGGACCGAAGGCGTCGCGGGCAGGCGAAAGCGACGGGGCCTAAACCTAAGTGACCAGCGAGCATGTTCTACAAAGCAGTTCTCATTCGTTCACTGATAAATCGCTGGCTGAAAAAGAAATAGGGAGTGATCCCTTGAGCGTGAATAGCGGGTGAACTTGGAAAAGTATGACGTGCATTTAGTACCAGATGGTTTTCAAGTTCACTTCAAGTGAACAGTGATGCCTTGCCAGCTGACCCCCCGCTCGGTAAGACTTTGAGTGTCGCTGGCCAATCATGGATCACTATCGTGAGAGAATGCTCGACTTCAGGTGGTAACTTGGTATTTGGCGAATTCATATTCAAGAATCTTGATTATGAAAACAGCCATGTTGTACTCGGGCTTCAAGCCGCCGTGATCAACGCTCAAATGTGTGCATTTGTGATCTCAGCCAGTGTACATGAACAACCACCTTACAGGTGCATACACATGTCACTACACACTGGATAAGAATTAAACGCTCGGAAAACGTTTCCTGTAACAAATTAAAAACAAAAAACCATAAATAGAAATTATTTTTTTATTACCTTCAAAAACAGCGTAATATTGAGTCCAGGAAAATCGCCTGATGTAAAGCTGAAACGAGCAACAAGTAAAAACAAGTACAAAATATAACGAGTACAGCCTGCAATGATTCCTCACCTTGGGACTTCCAACTGACTTTTATCGTCGGGAATTTCTGGGACTGCATCAGCTCTGGGCCACACGGCAGAAGAATCCGTTTCGCCTCTGACGCCTGTAGCCTCCCTCGTACACGAATGATCAGAGCGAGTGGATGAGTAGTTCTGCGATAAGCACGAGTGTACATGCGTCGGCAGGTAGAAACCAAGGACGTGCTAGGAGCAAGCGGACATGGCTCCATCAGCAGCATCGCTACCGTCAGCAGCAGCAGAAGAGCAGCACCATGAGAGCTGCTGCTTTTAAGAATTCTTAGAAGTGATTCAGATTTGTATACCGGTCATGGCTCCATCAGCGGCATCATTCCTGTCAGCAGCAACCGTGGAGCAGCACCATGAGTGCTGTTGCTTTTAAAGATTCTTAGAAGTGATTTAGAATTTGAAAACAACCGGACATGGCTCCATCAGCGGTATTACTACCGTCAGCAGCAACCGTGGAGCAGCACCATGAGAGCTTTCGCCGATGCGTGGACGATTGGGATTCTCACGTGACGGAGTTGACGCACCAGGTACTATATGCGCACCCGTTATGCGCACCCGTTTCTCCTCCTTCACTTATCTGCACACCTTCCATGAGTATGTCTTGTCTTCGTAAATTCATCTCCGTTTTCCCTTCCCCACATCTGATCCCGCTTCTGGTGTTTTTTCTGTCAATTCCTGTCACTATGAATCCTTGTGAATCCTTGTCAGTGTATCAATGTCTGTCAATATGTATCAGCTGGCATCATTTTACACCACTGCGTTCCGCAATAACATGGTCAGTCCTTTATCAGACTCCCAATTCATTCCACCAGAACTATCCTTGGGTTCAACCCTTCTGACACTTCTCCAATGTCCAGTTGCAGGCTCGGAGCCAGTCAGCATGTGATCTAGACAGCTGGCACGACGTGATTGGCGTATCTGCAGAGCCATGGGGCGGAGGGAATCCTGCTGCCGCATCCACAGCAGCTTCCGTAGTCGCGTCAGCAGCAGCAGCAGCAGCAGCACCCGCAGGAGCAGAGGGGTCGACACAAGTATCGCCAGATTCGTTGAATCTGCTCATTCAACACATCTCGTCCAAATGCTGTGCCATATACGATGCTGAACAGGAGGTCTGTGTGTGAGCACATCTGCACGCGCTCGCGCGCGAGCGCGTGCACCCGTGTGTGTGTGTGTGCGCGCGCGCACGTGTGCGTTACACTTGCGAGGATGGATGTGGAGGTGTGTGTATGGAATCATGTTAAAGAACGATCGTCAGCTCCTTCTTTTTGCACTCCTCATTCCCTATTCATCTGCACCCCCCTCTCGTTTCTGCCTCTTGCCTCACCTCTCCTGCTCTCCTCAATCACTTCCTGCCCCTTACCCCTCCTTCCTTCCTATCCCTCCCTCCTATCCGCCCTCCCCCATTGCTACCCGTTCACCTCATTTCTTGCAGGTCTTACATCGGTTGCTGCCACGCCTACTGCTATTTGGAAAATCATCCGCAGGCAACCCTCCCTCCAGTCCCTTCGCTTATTCCGACACACAATCCTCTGCTGTGGGAGAACAGATAGCAGATCTGCATGAGGACGAAAATGCGCGTGTAGCTGGTGATAGTGGTAGGGGAGGAGGGGAGGATAAGGAGGAGCGGGAGGGTGGGGATGGGGATGGTGGATTGGAGAAGAGTCAGGAAGAGCGAGATGGCGATGAAGGGAGATTAGGGGGAGGGGTTGGGGGAGGTGAGGATAGCAGAGGGGGAGAACCAGCTGAGGCGAGGGGTGAGGGTAGTACAAGCAAGAGTGACAGAACTGAAGGTGATAACGGCGAGGGGGAAGGGGGTGGAGGCGAAGAGGTTTGGGAACAAGGTGAAGAAAAGGATTCAGGAGAGGAGGACGGGGAGGACGGGGAGGACTGGGAGGGCGGGAATGCAGTGGAGGAGGAGGGAAGGGAGGGAGGGGGAGAGGAAGGAATAGGCGGAGGGGGAGAGGAGGGTATAGTGGGAGCAGGAGAGGAGGGAGCGGGAGGGGTGGAAGGGGAGGAGCAGCAGCAGGTGGCGCGCGTGTTAGTAGATCTACAGGCGCTGGTGCTGGTGGGGAAGGACCTCACAGCCACTATGGAAGAGCTTCTTGTGCTGCTCGTGGCGCTGGTTGGAGGGGAGGAGGGGAGGGGCGCAGGGTGGGATGGAGGAGTGGCAGGAGGGGTGGGAGAGGAGGAGGCGGATGTGGGGCTCCAGGAGTTGCTCCGTTCTGATTGGTTCAAATCGACAGAGTACTTCACAGTAAGTGTGTTGGTGGAACTGCAGGCGCTGGTGCATTTTGAGGCGCCTCAAAATGCTCCGTTCCGACTGGTTCAAATCAACAGTGTACTTCACAGTAAGTGTGTTAGTAGATCTGCAGGCGCTGGTGCTGGTGGGGAAGGACCTGACCGCCATTATGGAGGAGCTTCTGGTGCTGCTAGTGGCGCTGGTTGGAGGGGAGGAGGGGAGGGGCGCCGGGTGGGATGGAGGATTGGCAGGAGGATTGGGAGAGGGTGAGACGGGTGAGGGGCTCCAGTAGCTGCTCTGTTCCGATTGGTTCAAATCAACCGAGTACTTTACAGTACGTCTGCACACAGTCGTAGTGCATATGCTGACTGAAACGTTTGAGCCGCTGTTTTACCTTCTCAGCTTGCATTAGATGTGCTTGTGACGGGGGTGGCTGTGTTTCCGGTGATCCACTCGGTCTTTTCTGCCACCCCTTCTCTGCTCGTTGTTTTTCTTCCTAGACCCTTTACCCCTCTCTAGTTTTGAGGCGCCTCAAAACTAGACTTCTTCCTAGACCCTTTACCCCTCTCTGTGTACCCCATCTCGCCTCCCTCCTCAGCCGGCACTAGACGCGCTCGCAGCAGGAGCGGCTGTGCTCCTAGTTATTGACTCAGCTCGTGCTGCTAACCCTGCTGTTGCCCGGGGGATTGCTGCATACAACAGGTGTGTGATGGGGGGTTTCACACAGAATCGCGATTTTTTTTTTTCTTTACTTCTGTCAATGCCTTGGTCCACTCCTCACGTCCATTCCCTCTCCATGCCCCCATTCTTCCATGTCCACACCCCTGGGATATATCCTATTGCTCATCATGCGTTATCCGTTCTTCCATCCTGCCCCCTCCTGTTTTGTCCTCTCCTGTCCACTCCTCTCCGCTCTCCCTCACTCGTCTTCTTCCAACACCCTTTCGCCAACCAGAATGCTTCAGGCAGTGCGTTGTAACATGGAGGCATACTCCACGGTGCGCAGCGGTACAACGCGGTGCCAGAAAAAGGGAGGGAGAGGCAGCAGAGGGCAACGCGAAGAATTCGAGATGTCTCTGGCGGAGCTGCAGGGGCTGCTGCTGATGCTCGAGGAAGCAATAGGGCCGCAAGGCGAACAGGGAACTTTCTTCCAGGTAGGTTTTCCTGCATTCCTTCTCTCCTTTGTTCTCCATAATCCTTTGATTTTATCCAAAATCTCAAAACTAGGATCCTTAGTTTTGACAATCGCCTCCCATCCCAACCGGACGTTTCACAGAGCTGGAAGGAGAGTGTAGCCTGGGCAGTGGGTCCTGAAGCGCCTTCCCTTGCTGCTGCAGCAAAGGCCGGGAAAGGAGGAAAGGGAGGCAGGACGAAGGCAAGTGCAGGGCAGCAGGTGCTGATTGGCCGGGCGCTGTGGCCGCAGCAGCAGAGGTGGCTGCTGCCTTTGATGGCTCATTTTAACTCCTCTGGTAACCAGCTCCGCCCTCCCCAATTCCTCCCCAACTTTCTTACCCAACGCCCATCTGCAACTCCAACCCACTTGATTGATTCTTTCAGAGCTGGAAGGAGAGTGTCGCCCGGGCGGTGGGTCCTGCGGCACCACCCCTGCCTGCAGCAAAGGCTGGGAAAGGAGGAAAGGGAAGCAGGGCGAAGGCAAGTGCGGGGCGGCAGGTGCTGAGTGGGCGGGCGCTGTGGCGGCAGCAGCAGAGGTGGCTGCTGCCGCTGTTGGCCCATCTCAACTCCTCTGCTGAGTCTGCGCTCCATGCCGTTGGTGCGTGCTGTTCTGTTAGACTTTTAAGATGCCATTGGTGCGTGATGTTCTTCTAGTCACTGGTGGCCCATTTCAACTCCTCTGCTAGCTTTGCACTCCATGCCATCAGTTCAAGGTCTCCATCATCCTTCCCCCATTCCTTCCCTTCCCCCTCTCGTCCCCTTTTCCCGTTCTTCCCTCCTGTCTCCACCCACCATGTCACTGGCACTGCCAGCCAGTCACTCCGAGCAGCACAACACGCGTCGCCATTTCTTGAGTTGACTATAAATCTCCCTCCCGTCCCCTCCCACCCGCCCACCATGTCACTGGCACTGCCAGCCAGTCACTCCGAGCAGCACAACACGCGTCGCCACTTAGCCGGATGCATCGCTCTCTTCCTCTCACTCGCACCCATAGCAGGTGAGGTGAGGTAAACATCTAGATTCAATGTTTCTAGGTGACTGACTTTTGAGTCGACTCAAAAGCCGGATGCATTGCTCTCTTTCTCTCACTCGCACCCATAGCAGGTGAGTTAACCTTGTAGATTCTAAGTTTCTCTTTGTTTTTTTTTTGGCACCCTCTTAATCTGTTTCTTGTTTTCACGTATTTGTTTGTATTCTCGTCTCTACTCAAGAATCGATACTCATCGTAATCATTCCACCTTTCTCGTTCTCGTGGCAGCATCGGGCTATGAGAAGCAACTCATAAAGGCCACTCCAAGCCTGTTCGAGGCAGTCAGGCTGCATCCGCTGTTACCTCTCGCCGGACCCCTCCCCCTCTCCGCCTCTCTTCCCCCCCTCCTCGCCCTCCACCTCCCCCCTGCACTTCTGGCGGTTTCTCCTGTGCCCTTCTCTGCCCTGGGGGAGGGCAAGGGCGGGGGGAAGGCGGGAGCGAAAAGGGCAGGGGGAAAGAGGGAGGTGAAAGCAGGGAAGGGAAGTGCGGAGGGGAGGGGGAACGGGGGAGAGAGTGCGCGCGGAGTGAGGGAGGTGTGTGAGGATATACTGAGAGGAGCATTGCATCGGGCTAATGACGACCTGCCAAGGTGTGCATGGCATTGGTGCCTTCCTCCCATACTGTGCTAGGAATGTCATTTGGCCCTTGAGGCGCCTCAAATATTGTTCAAGGAATGCCATTCGGCCTTCCTGTCGTGATTTTTGAGTCGACTCAAAAACCACCTCCATGCCAATATGTGCCTCGCCTTCCTCTTAGATTGTGCCGTGCCGTGCCACAAATGCTCTTCCTCTTCGGCATTCCTGTCCCAGCTGATTTATTCTTTCCCTCCCCTAGCTGCCTCGCTCTCCGCAGCCCTGAGGCTCCCCCCTCAGACCTTATTAAGTTAATCTGGGTCAATCTCTTCCCCCTCCTCCCATCTTCCACATCCCCACACATACCAGGCTCGCATCAGCCTTCCCTCCCCTAGCAGGCTCTCTGTCCGCAGCCCTCAGGCTCCCCCTGAACCTGTCTTTGCTGTGCGACTCGTTGGAGGAGGCGGTGGGGAGTCAAGTGAAGTTGGTGCAGCAGGTGGGGGGTTCTATATTGAGGACATTGCATGCAGGTGTGGTGTGCTGTGGGGTGGTGTGGGGTGGTGTGGGGTGGATGTGGGTGTGGGTGTGGGTGGGTGTGGGTGCATGTGTGCAGTGTTAGCATTCTTAGCATTCTCACTCACCTCCCCGTTCCTCTAGTGGGGAAGCAGGAGGTAGGCAGGATGAGGCAAGGAGTCAAGCCCGGTCTATTCGAGACACGTCGTTTCTTATCCCTCTCATGTGTGTCAGTCAGGTCACGCCTACCACTGTCACACGCCTGTCGAGGCGGATTCTTAGTAAAACAGACAAGATGTACCTTCCTTTTTGTATTTTTCGTTCTTTGCAGACTCTTGCCGTCACGTGCAACGCGAGGCATCAGGTCCAGACCTTGCTTGATCTGCATACCAGCCTGCAGGTGAGTGAGCTTGACAATGCCGGTTGCTTGCAGCATCACGAGCAAAGTGTGCCACTGTTCAGAATTACAAAACGAGTTCTGTTTACCGACCAGAACTAGGTGTGTAGTCTTCATGTCATGCGCCCCCTTCCTTGCACTCACTGGGATAAGAGTTGACTTTGGAGTCAACTCAAAAGTCGACCAGCACTATGTGTGTAGTCTCCATGTCATGCGCCCCCTTCCTTGCACTCACTGGGATAAGAGTTGACTTTGGAGTCAACTCAAAAGTCGACCAGCACTAGGTGTGTAGTCTCCATGTCATGCGCCCCCTTCCTTGCACTCACTGGGATAAGAGTTGACTTTGGAGTCAACTCAAAAGTCGACCAGCACTAGGTGTGTAGTCTCCATGTCATGCGCCCCCTTCCTTGCACTCACTGGGATAAGAGTTGACTTTGGAGTCAACTCAAAAGTCGACCAGCACTAGGTGTGTAGTCTCCATGTCATGCGCCCCCTTCCTTGCACTCACTGGGATAATCTCAGCGTTTGTTTTCCTGTGTTTTGCTTTATGCCGTCGTCGTCATGGCAGGTGTCTCTCAAGAGGCGTCAGATTGTGCTCGTGGCTGCGGTGCTGCAAGCAATCAAGGTGAACTAGTCCTTCTTCTCTAGTCCTGACGTGTGAATCCTGCTTTCTGATTCCAAAGAAACAAAAATGTTGAGCCTCACACCGCCCTTCCCTTTTTTTTTTTTTTTTTTTTTTTTTTTTTTTTTTTTTTTTGGTATTTAATTGCTCTGTGCACTTCCATGACCCCCTTTTCTGCTTGTAAGATTGTTTCACTTCATCTTCTTTCTCGGCCCCCAAGCCCCCTCCTCCCCACTTCTTTTCTCCTCTGTTCTGCACCTGCTCCTCTCACTCCAGCAAGTGGAGTCGGCTGTGGCAGCATGCCTCCCCTCGCTCTCCCTCCACCTGCCTCTTTACCAGCAGCACCTGCTGCGGCAACTCAATGCTGCCTTGCTCCCTCTTCAGGTGCTTTCTGGGTCTTCTCAGGTGTTTTCCTCAGGTGCTTTTTGTTTCGATTTTTGCAGCACTGCAATAGCAACAACAGTCTGTGCTGCACTTCCCCTAGCCTCCCTCTTTTTTTTTTTTTTGTCTCCCCCACTCACTCCCTGGTGCAGTGCAGTGCTATCATGCCAATTGATATAAAAGACTTACAACACTTACGTCCTCACCTCTCTGAGGAACTCTCTCCCCTGCTATTCCATTCCATGCCCCTTCAAACTCACCATTCCATGCCCCTTCAAACTCACCATTCCATGCCCCTTCAAACTCACCATTCCATGCCCCTTCAAACTCACCATTCCATGCCCCTTCAAACCCACCCTTCCACCCACCCGTTCTTATTTCGTCACCCCTGCCCAAAACCACCAGATGGATCAGCTGGCGAAGCTACCCCGGCCACCTCCCTCGCAAACACATCCAACTACAGGAGATGTGGAAGGAGGGAGCGAGGCGATGGGGGGAGGAGGGGGTGGGATAGAGGGCGAGGTGGCAGGCCATTCATCTTTGTCGGTTGCAGGCCATTCATCATTGTCGGTTGCTTCTCTGCTTGCTTCAGCGCCCCTGCCTGCTGTCTCCCTCTTCCCATGGAGCAACAAGGGTGAGTGAAGGGCTGCATGACATTGCCATATACATGCCATGCCATACAGGCCACGCACGTCGTACGCACCTTGGCATGCATGCATGCCATGCCATGCCATGCCATGCCATGGCATATCCTTTGTAATGAAATCGCAACAAGAAAGCCTTACCCATGCTCAGATTCATTTGGTAGCCCTTTGTTGAGCTGTTTGTTTTGCCAGTTGTTGTGTTCCATGTTTGTTGAGCCCTTTGTTGTGCAACAACGACAACACACTGATTCATTCATCAGCCCACATGTGCCATGCCACTATGCTGCTGTGCCTTTGCAGCTGCTATGGATACCCACAAGAAGCTTGTCAACTCCATTGCCACTGTAAGCCCCTTGCTTGAGACCTCTTCTTGTCACCGCTTCCTGTCACCCCTGCCCCACCACCCCACTGCACTCCACCCAACACTCACATATCATGTCTTCCTGTGCGCTCTTTCCGAGTGCCTCAACCCCAATTCTGCTCCTCTCGTACGTACTAGCTCACCGATCCTTGCTTCGCTGCTGCTTTCTTGCCCTTCCACTCCTCTTTTGAGGCGCCTCAAAAGTCCCCTCCTTCGCCCACTGCTGCTTGCTTGCCCTTCCACTCCTCACGCGCCGTTCCAGTGTCTTTCTCTTGTTGCCGTGCTGCAAAGACACATGGCGACAAACTTCTTTGCTTCACACACGACACCACATCGCAAACAAAACACTCATCAGATTACACAAGATTTCCACACCCTTCCCTCCGGATGCTTCCATTCTGTCACATTTTCCCATCGCACCATCCACACACCCCGTCTCTCTTACAGTTCCTCCGTCACCCCTATCACCATCCCTGCCCTCCAGCTCACCAGCATGCGTCAGCTGACGTGGCATCAGCTGCCATCAGATCGCCTCCTCTCCTTCCTCTCAACTGCTTGCGCCCTCATCCCTCCCGTTGTAAGCCCCCTTGTAAGTCTTTCCTTGTAAACCTCCTCTTTCTGGAGTAAGGAACTGGTGGACCCTCTTCACACATTCATCACCGCGTCAACCGTTTCCAACTGTTGCCTTTACCTCCACTCCCTTCCCTCGACCCATCATTCACTCGTTTCAAATGGACGAATCACCTCTTCCAGTTTCTTCTCCATCCTCTTGCTTCGACCATATCACCTCATCCGTATTCTTTCCCTTTTTCCCTCTTACAACCCCCCTCTTCCCCGCCCACCCCCCTCCCTTCCACCACCCCCTTGCTCCCGCCAATTCCACATATCAACTCCCTTTCCCCCTTCTCCCCTCCCTTTTGAGACGTCTCAAAAGTCTTCTCCCATCCCTTCCTTGCATTTGCAGGTTGCCCCCATCCCATCCTGCCAGCCTCTACTCGCTCAAATCCACTTCGCCACACTCCTCCCCTCCCTCTCATCCTCCTCACCCTCCTCTTCTTCCTCCTCCACCACCACCGCCTGTTTCTTCCTCTCCTCGCGCCCTCATCTCCTCGCGCCTGCGCTTGCTGCTCTCTACTCTCAGCCGCTCATCCAACCCAACTCGCTCCAGTAAGCCTCTCTCATCCTGAGACCCCACAGGTGTGATGAGTCGATTTTTGAGTCGACTCAAAAATCGACTCAACCCAACTCGCTCCAGTAGGTCTCTCTCATCCCGAGACCCCACGGGCCCACCCCACCATGTGCTTTGGCGTTATTCACCACTCCCACTCTGTACAACTCCCTGCTTTAGCATTTCCATCCTACAAGTCTCACAAGTCCTATCGCTGTGCTGTGAACCTGATAGACGTCTTCTTGGATGGGGCCCGGCTGCTGCTCCTGCAGAAGACGTGTCAAAAGTTCACTTTCTACACGTGGCAATTCCATCCTACAACTCTCACAAGTCCTGTCGCTGTGCTGTGAACCTCCTCCCAGGTCCCTGATAGACGCGTTCTTGGATGGGGCCCGGCTGCTGCTCCTGCAGCCACACACGCAGGAAAGAGATGGGAAGCAGCCGAAAGGGCTTACAGGGAGAAAGAGCGGCAGCCGGACCGTCTCTTGGGGTGACGTTTACAGTGTGGAGAATCAACTGGAGTCTGCGTTGCTTCAGGTGATTGGGTTTTGGGTGTTTCCACAGCCAGAGATTCGAAAGAACCTTATGAGTGGCGACTGGGGCAGGTCGTGCGGTGATGCTCTTGGTTGGTAGGTCTGATTCTTGGCAACTGGGGAGGCCACGTCCCTTGTCATCCCATGTGCAGTCATTCCTTCAACCCTTCATTTGAGGTGTCATTGCGCACCTCCCTCTGCACGCCGTCTCATCGCCTCCTCCTTTTTTCTCCACATCCCACACCACACCTTCCCCATACATTCCATACATCCCATACGCAATGCAGTCATTCCTTCGTCCCCTCACTCGAGACGTTATCGCAGACCTCCATCTGCACGCCATCTCCCACTCCGATCTGCACTCTGCCAATCCGCGCTTCAACCCCCGCAAGGTACCTTCCTTCCCCCCACCACACGTTACGTGCCCTCATTTGAAGCATCATTGAAAGCCTCCATCTGCACGCCGCCTCCATCTGCACGCCATCTCCCACTCCGATCTGCACTCTGCCAATCCACGCTTCAACCCTCGCAAGGTACAATATGTCGACTCAAAAGTCACTCCTTAGATCATCACACATAGGAAATCTCCTCGCCCTCCCCTCTCTCACTCACTCTCAAGTGGATTTTTTCTCCAAGACTTCCAAGAACCCACCCACAGTTTCTCAAGGTATCCCAAGCCGCACTCTCACTTTTATCCTCTACTTTCCACTGTGTCCCCAACCCCTCACCACCCCTGCAAGCAGACAGGGGTGCGCAACCTGCTGCAATTTCTGCAGCTGTTACCCATCCGCCTGCTCTCAAGGCAGATCGACATACAAGCACACGTCACACAAGCACTGGCAGCCTCCCTCTACAATCACACTGCAGCCGCTCCTGCCAACTGGAAGGTCTGTATCCTTGATAATTGCAAAATAAATTCCATGATCGGTGTTGTCTTCTCAATCTCCTTGCTTACTCATAGCTGCTACGTTTGTTGCTCACTCCTCAAAGCACTGTTTTGAGGCGCCTCAAAACTAGACTTTCTCATAGCTGCTACGTTTGTTGCTCACTCCTCAAAGCACTGGGAGATTGCATGACGTTCGAACTGCAAATCCCTCCCCACTGCATTAATCAACTTACCCTTTTCTCTCTATCTCGGGGGTCTTTCTCTCCATTTTCTTTCTTCCCCTGCGTGCCGTTTGCCACCGCCAGCTAGGCGAAGACGTGAGACAGCTGGCGGCAAGCAAATATCGGCTGCTTCTGCCACCGATTGCCATAGGGGGAGGCCTGGCATTCAAACTCCATAGCACCCCAACTTCCTCCTCCACCTCCTCTCCTGCTCTGCCTTTTTCACTCCTCCACCCTCCCTCTCTCGCTGCCAATCTCCCCTTCTTCGCCTCTGCCTTCTCTTTTGACCTTTCCACCCTAACCTTCCACCAACGGCCCTCCACCCTGGCCAGCTTCCACGAAGCTTCCTCACCCACCCCTTCCACCCACCATGCTGACTCATCACCGCCGTTCTCCTCGTCGCACGGGCCTCGGTCACTCACGCTGCGCCAGCTGTCCTCTCTCCTCCAATCCACGCACGCCATGCTGTTCCTCCAGCACGCCGCCACGTCAGCGTGCAAGCTGATAGCGGGGAAGCTGTCGCACCTGTCTCGACTGTTCTTGCATGACAGAGCTCACTCGCTGCTGTTGCAGTCAATGAAGCAAATACAGCAACAGCAGCAGCATTTGCAGCAGCAACGAGGAAACCAACAGCAGGAAAGCCAAGCTACTGGTTTGGCTGTTTCAGCCAACACTGCTCCTGCTGCTTCTGCCGCTCCTGGTGGTGCTGGTGGTAAAGGCTCTACTGGTGGCACTGGACCGGGTGTTGGAGTACATCCTACTTCTGAGACTGTCGCTGGCATGGAATTGACAATGGAGGCGGTAGATGAGCTCAAGAATGTGAGCATCCCTCCTTGAATGTGAGCCCACTGTTTCATCTCGCCACGTCATCACTCCTTCTCACTCATTCCACCCTCCCCACCGTAACATTAGGAGCATTGACACCTCGTTACTCCTTCTCACCGCTTCTCACTGCTTCCGAGCTCTTAAATCACACCATCCAAGTCACACTTATGTGTGGGTTTGCGTTCGTGTGAGCGTGTGAGCGAGTGTTTGTGTGTGCATGTGTGGATGGCACACGCATGTGTGCACGACACACGTATGTGTGCTCACGTGCACGCTTGGTGGCTGCACGTACAGATCTCCATGCATCCTCCCCGTTTCTTTAAACTGCCTCTGATCCTTCCTTAAAAATAACAGAAACTGCAGGAGATCTTAGTGGAAGCTGATTGGCGGGCATCCCAGCCCGCCCCTGCTACCAAACCCCACCACGCATCCACTGCCCCTGCAGCATCATCATCAGCAGCAGCAGCAGCAGCAGCACATGGGGTTGCAGCGAAGGGGAAAGATGAGAAGATTGGAAGAGGAGGGGGAGGAGGGGCAGAGAAGAGGCCGTGGGGGGAGGTGGTGGTGGAGGAGGTGAGGGAGATGGGGTTAGCGCTCGGGTTCGTGTTGGCTGCTGCTACAGCTGCCTGCCACAGTGCGGAGCACACTCTCAGGTGAGACCAACAGTGAGCAATCATGCTCAGGTCAGGTGTTGGCAGCACAGAATGTGCGTGCTTCTGATTGGGTACTGCTGCATGGAGCACACTATCTCCGGCAACTTTCCGAGGTGCCTACAGGATCGGCTGGGAGCTCCCTATTGTCTTTTTGTCATGCAATTCTGATCCACAAGCATTCTCCTCTTAGATCAGATTCCAACATCTAGGACAGTCGCCACCCTCTCCCAACAGTGATGATCCATCCACCATCCTTTTCCTGTGTCCTCCTTCCCCATCCCTCTTTCTCCCAGCGCCCTTCCCTCACACGCTGCAGGAACACCCCTCCATCGCCTCCTGCTCACCTCACCTCTCTCCCACCAGCCTCTCCTCCTCCTCTCCTCGCTCTCCAATACCCTCCGCCCAGCAGCACACACTCAACCCGTGCCACTACTTCATCTGCTCGTTAACCTCTTCCAAAAGGTACGCACCAATGTTCAGTCGACTCGGATTGTGAGTTGACTCAAGAATCAGCCAGCAGTAGTGCATGGTCACCCCGTGCCGCTGCTCCATCTGCTCGTAAACCTCCTCCAGAAGGCAAGCACCCTCCCAGTACCGCCATTTTCTTATTCACTTGCGCATACTCTCTTCTTCTGCCGCCCTGCTCAGTTTCTCACTGCCATGCTGGTTACCAGTCTTCCCTCTGCTGCCTCCTCTCACTTGGGCCCCCGCCCTTCCCCATCCGAACGACATCCTTTCTCTATCCCTCGCCCTTCCCTCTCTCACCGTCCCCCTTTTTCAGATCCTCACCAGCTTCTCGCCTTGTCTTGTCCTCTCCGCCCCCCTTCGCCCCGTCTTTTTCCCACTTCCATCCCATCCCCTCCTCAGGAGCTTCAAGCCTCGTCTCATCACCCTTTCCTCATGCTCCCCGCCGCCATTCCCCCGCTCTCCCTCCTGCTGGCCTCCAAGAAGCAACTAGCGCAGCAGAGACTGGCAGATGTAGTGGCAGGTGGTGGAAGGGATGGCCACGTGGGGAACTCTTTAAACGACTAACAATCTAATATTTTCACACTTTCTTCCTCCCTCAGGAGCTGCAAGCCTCATCTCATCGCCCCTTCCTCACACTCCCAGCCGCCATTCTGCCACTCTCTCTTCTGCTGGCTTTCAAGAAGCAACTAGCGCAGCAGAGACTGGCAGATGCAGTGGCGGGTGGTGAGAGGGAGATGGCCGTGCGGGGGACTTTTGAAACGACTGAAAATTTCTCCCTTTCACACTTCCTTCCACCCATCCCCCACGCAGGAGCTGCAAGCCTCGTCTCATCGCCCCTTCCTCACGCTCCCCGCCGCCATTCCCCCGCTCTTTCTTCTGCTGGCTTCCAAGAAGCAGCTAGCGCAGCAGAGACTGGCAGATGCAGTGGCGAGGTGGTGGGAGGGACGGTCGTGTGGGGGAATTTTCGCGTCCCCTCAAATTCCCTCCTTATCACGACCCCTCCCATCCCTCTCAGGAGCTGCAAGGCTCGCCTCATCGCCCTTTCGTCACGCTCCCTGCCGCCATTCCCCCGCTCTCCCTGCTGCTGGCTTCCAAAAAACAACTAGCGCAGCAGAGACTAGCAGATGCAGTGGCGGGTGGTGGCAGGGACGGTCGTGTGGGGGGAGGGAGGGCTGGTGGCGGGTCTGGGGGGAGTGCGGGAGGGGGAGGATGGGAGAGAGGAGGAGGAGAAGGTGATGGGGGAGCGTGGGAGGCACAGGATGACGACTGGTTGCCTGATGATGGCTTCACACTTGGAGTGGCTTTTCTTCTCACGGTAGGCAGAATCTTTTACTACTCATGATGCAAGTTTTGAGTCGACTAAAAAATTGGGAGCGTGGGAGGCAGAGGATGACGACTGGTTGCCTGATGATGGATTTACACTGGGAGTGGCTTTTCTTCTCACGGTATGTCTATTTTTGAGGTGCCTTAAACACGGAGCATGGGATGGGAGGCGCAAGATGACGACTGGTTGCCTGATGAAGGATTCACATCACACTGGGAGTGGCTTTCCTGCTCACGGTACGTCACTAGCTCTCCTGCTCACACCGTGTTAGGAGAACACTCCTCTTGAGACGTGTAGAATATATTGATGTTGGATTCACACTGGGAGTGGCGTTTCTGCTCACGGTACGTCACCCGCTCTACTAAAGACCTTTCTTCTCACAGCTTGTTCACAGGATAGAGAAAGGGTTATGTTCGTCGGCTGCTGGAATCTGTGGTATTTTTCTACTATCTTTCTTGTGTTCGGAGGTGGTGGCTGATGGTAGATCAAGATGATGGTAGAGGTGGTGGCCCTTGTATTTCTCCATGGATTGGTTTCTTTCTCTCTCCCGCCAGGTGGCCAATCAGCGCCTTGCCTTGCGTTCGCCCTGCACCATCTCTCATTCCAATCTCAAGTGCCTGCATATATTCCCTGCGCCATCCCTTTGTGTTTGTCCTCTCAACTGCTCCTCCCGCCTGCCAGGTGGCCAATCAGCGCCTTGCCTTTGAGTCTATGGATTGGTTCTCTCTCGCACTGCACCATCTCTCCTTCCAACGCCAAGCCATTCCCACCAACCCTCCTTCCACTCTCACTTCTGCTCCCGGTGGTGGAGGTGGTGGTGGTGGTGCTGCTGCTGGTACTGCGGGTGGTGCTGTGAGTGCCAAATCAGGAGGAGGAGGACCAAACGCAGGGGAGGATTATGATGAGGAGGAGGAAGGAGAGGGCACTGGGGGTGCTGGAGGAGGGGTGACTTCCCTCTGGTCCTCCTGGTTCGGAGCCGCTGCTGCATCTGCCGAACCTGCAGCTTCACAACCGGAGCTGTCTCCCGAGCTGACTCACCAGCTTCGGCAGGTTGGTCTGGCTGGCTGTACCTGGTCTCACAGCCTGACTCCCAACATTGTGTGGTGTTTCTATCATACATCATCCCAACATGACCTCTCGTTCCAGCATCTCAAATCCATTTCTCTTCCCTTCGTCTCTCATCTTTGTCCCTCCCCTTCGTCTCTCCCCATTGTCCCTCCCCTTAGGCTCTTTCTCCCATTGTCTCTCTCTGTCCCCACTTCGCATGGCAGAGGGAGCGAATGCTGGCAGGTGTGGCAGAGCAGCTGAGCTTGATGAACGTGGTAACCGTTGCTGCTCTTCGGTTGTTCGACTCCAGCTCAGCTACCATCTGAGACGAGTCAAAGAGCCTAATGCTGGCAGGCGTGGCGGAGCAGCTGAGCCTCATGAACGTGGTAACCATCGCTGCCCTTCGGTTGTTGACTCCACCAGCCGAGCCACCACACAGTTACACCACATAATCGACCACACACTGACACACTGCTGTGATTCGCATGAGTATACACAACAAAATATATAACAATAACAATCTATACGGTAGATGCAGTTTTGAACAGATTCACTAATGCATGCAATCACTTGCTGGATTTCAGGATGGAAACCAGGTCGAAAGCATCAACTCGAACCAGCCTTCGTTCCTCTGGGTCCTCCCCTCCAGGTCCACTATCTCCACTCTCTCTTGACCCGCCAGACCCTCTTGCGCTGACCTCATTGCCCTCTACTTGACTGGAAGAACCAGACTCTGCTTGCAGAAGCTCTCTCAGCTGGTCTGCAACTGACGATCCTCTTCTGCCCTCATCCAACCTGCACGTGCCAGTACAGCTGTGTGAGTGCTTCACAGCTCCATAGTCCACTGGTGAGCAATCGGCCACACATGCAGATGGTCGAATTCTGTGGCCAATTGCTAATTGGATTGCTTCACAGAGAATGATAACCTCTGACTGAGAAGGGAAGGCACAAGCACACAGACCATGACTATCTAAGTCCCCTCTGTCAAAACGCGTTGAACCGGGTGAACCCAAAGGCGATGTGGGAAGCAATCGTTCAAGGCTTTGGGTTTGATGTTTCAGGTTTAGCGCACACACCTGTCGAAGAAGTTTGGAGCAGAAGCAATTTTTGAGGCGCCTCAAAATCCGCGTGAGCTGAGACGATTTTTGAGGCGCCTCAAAAATGTTTCAGGTTTAGCGCACACACCTGTCGAAGAAGTTTGGAGCAGAAGCAGCATCACCAGAAGCCGATCTCCTGTGCCACGGCCTGTGAGCGCCCTCCTGCCCATGAAGCCCCCTCCTGCTCCTGCCCTCCCCCACCATCCGCAGCTGTCGTACTGTTTCTGCATTGCTCCTCCAGCTCCTCCCCCCCCTGGTGAACCCAGACACTTCTGAAGGCGCCTCTGAAGTTGCTGTCGCTGCTGCCCGCAGCTGCCTTGCTGTCTCTGCGCTGCTTCTCCAGCTCCTGCCGCTTCTGTTAGGACCAGAGATCTGCTGCATGCTGCTGTGTGAACCTAAATCTGCCCCAGAACCTCTAACCAAACTTCCTGCTTGCATCTGCTGGGAAAGAGCCACAGGGCTCTGCTGCTCAGGGCCAAGCGGGAAGGCCTGTGGAGGGATAATGAGGCTCTGCTGCTGCTGCTGCTGCTGCTCCTCGGAGCTGCCACGGAGGGACAGCTGTAAGGGTGAGTGGTCATCGGGTGATCGAGCAAGGCGCTGACGTGGCGAGATGCGATTGGCTGTGCGGATTAGGTTCAGGTCTTCAGCAGAGGAGGTTCTGCGGTGCAGCTGCTGCTGCTGCTGCTGCTGCCACTGCTGATTCGGCAGCGCTCTCCCTCCTGCTTTTCTCAGGTCTTGGCCCGACGAAGTGAGCTCAAACTTCCCCCTGTTGGTCCTAGGAGAGCGGTAGATAGGACTCAGGGAGGAGGAGGAGGAGGAGGAGGAGGAGGAACCTACTCTTCTCCCGCTTTGTGCTGCCGCTTGTGCTGCTGCAATTGGTGCTGCACGTGGTGGTGGTGCTGCTGATTGTGCTGTGTATGGGCTGCCGGCCAGGTTCCTGTCCTTGCTCCACTGCTGCCCCTTGTTGTACTTATCAACCAGGGTGTTGACCGTCTGCCGAAGCGACAGCAGCCCTTTCTGCGAACCGGACACCACCGATTTGCTCAACGCTCTGAGCCCTGTGTTAGCCCCCATGCTCTTGCTCAGCGCCTTGGTCCCTGCATCAACCCGTGCGGCCTGTTCAAGGGCTTTCACAGCGGCTGGTGCTGCAGAGGTTAGCGATGCTGCTGATGCTGAGAGGAGCGACGATGGCACAGCAAGAAACGAAGCAGAGGCTGATGTGGTGGAAACACCAGCTGCAGTGGGAACGGCAGACTCTTGAGGCGACTCAAAAGCAGACGGCACAGCAAGGAACGAAGCAGAAGCTGATGCGGAAACATCAGCAGCTGTAAGATTGGCGGAGGGAGAAGCGGAGGGAGAGGCGGAGGGAGAGGCGGAGGGAGAGGCGGAGGGAGAAGCGGCAGGAGACGCAGGCAGAGACGCAGACTTGAAGGAGATGGAGCGATGGGAAACTGAGAGCATCTGCCCACTGCCCTGCTCTCCGGTGTAAGCGCAAGCACTGCTACAGCTCCTACCATGCAGCGTACCTGTTGACTTTTGAGTCGACTCAAAAGTCAACTCGCAAGCACTGCTACAGCTCCTACCATGCACCGTAGATGCAGCTCCTGTCATTAAGTGCGCCTTAGGTGAATTGGGAAAGTCTGGTGATCTGGGTGACAGGTCTCGTGGCCTGTGTGATAGATTCTGCGGCTCAGGGAGCTTCGGTGACCTGGGGGGCAAACAATTCGACGGCGAAGGGTCAGGCGTGCCAAGTGGGGGTTGGTGGGAAACCGGCGAGTCATGTTGTCGTCTGGTGGGAGATGGCCGCTGGTGGGGCAGGTGCAGCTGACTTAAAGCCACTCCTCGCCTGTCCTGGAGGCTGGAATTTACGACGAGGCGTGAGGGTGGGGAAAGCAGGCGGCTGGGAACAAGGCGGTGTGAGTGTGGACTGAGGCGAGGGGCGGATAGAGATGGTGATATAGGGTAGGCGTTTGATGGGGTGGGGAGGTGTTGGGATTGGTGTTGAGAGGCAGGGGACTGAGGGGTTTGAGTGGGGGAACGGGGAAGGAGGTGAGAGGGGGAGTGAGGGGAGATGTTGGAGGGGGAGCGGGGGGAGAGAGGGCGCATGGAGAGAGGGCGAGAAGGAGTGCAGCGGTGTTGCGTTGCTCGTCTGTTGCGAGCCATCTGGTACTGCCACCTGTCAGTTCGAGGAGAAGTGAGAGCGCTAGGAGAGGAGGGAGTATGCAGGCTGAAAGAATCCACAGGGGATCCTGCTGTTGCTGCAACGGCTACAGTGACAGAAGCACCAACAGCAGCACCAACGACAGCAGCAACAGCAGCGGCACCAGTGACTGAAGCACCGGCACCGGCATGAGTAACAGCAGCAGCACGAGTGACTGGAGCACCAGCAGCAGCAGCAGCAGCAGCAGCAGCAGCAGCAGCAGCAGCAGCAGCAGCAGCATCACTAGCAGGAGCAAGAGCAGGGGTTCTAGTGGCAGCAGAAGCACCACCAGTGCCAGTAACAGCAGCAGCGGCACCAGCAGATGAAGAACCACCAGTGCCAGTAGAGCCCGCTGGTGCCACCAGTGCCGCTGGTGCCGCTGCTGTAACAGCAGCAGCAGCACCAGCAGCAGCAGCACCACCACCATCACTAGCAGCAAGAACTGCCCAGCTCCATTCACTAGCACTCACCCCCTGCTCCCTGCCATCCCTCCTCTTCTCTCCCTCTCCCTCTCCCTCTCCCTCTCCCTCTCCAGCCCTCCATGCCTCTACATCAAACCTTACCACCCTCTCCTCTTCCAGAAGCCGTATTGCCTCCACTTCCCCCTGCCTCTGCTCAAATGCCCCTGCTGCTCCTCCCTCTCTGTTGCTCCACATGTTGACAACGCTCGCCCCCTCTGCTCCCTCTCCTTCACATCCCCCGCCTCTCCTTCCGCTCGCACCCAACTTCCAATCTCTATGATCAGACAACTTTTGAGACGTCTCGAATTTCCCCTGTCTATGATCAGACATCTCTGCATTTCCCTCGCTTTCAGACAACCGTGGGAGAGTTTTGTACCGACGCACACGAACCTCGTCATTGCCCTCGGATTCTGACCCGCTATAAGCATCTGCACTACCGTACAAGAGTCTAGCTGCAGCAGAGAGTGTTCGCTGAATGGAGAGTCTCCGGCCACTGCCAAACCTCTCGCCTTGGCTGCTGCTCCTGCTCCCGGGCCTGCTTCCAGACCTACTCCCGGGCCTGCTTCCGTCCCTGCTTCCAGACCGACTTCCTGGCCTGCTTCCGTTCCTGCTACCGGGCCTGCTTCTGGGCCTGGTACCATGCCTACTACTGGGTCTGCTGTCGCCATCCCCATAAACAACAGCTTCTCCAAGCAATCCTCTCAGTTGCTCATCCTCCTCCCCCTCCCTTTCCTCCTCACCATCCTCATCCTCCTCGGCATCCTCTCGTATCTCGGTCACTCTCATCTCTTTCCCCCGCCTCTCCTCCTTCTCCTTCTCCTTCTCCTTCTCCTTCTCCTTCTCCTTCTCTCGTATCTCAACTCCTCTCAAAATTGTGCTCTTCTCAAGCTCATCCTCATCCTCATCTTCCTCCTCCTCATCCTCCTCTGCCTCTTCGCCCTCCTCAGCAACCTGTGTCAAGCTTGACCCACCCACAGCAGCGCGAGCCCCAGTGCACCCTCTGCTGCCGATCGTTCTGCCAATGCTGCTGTGAAGCCCCCCCACTCTTCTACTGCCACCCCCGCCAAAACTGCTGCCACTGCTGTCAAAACCACTCCCACCAATTCCACTCTGTCCCATCTCAAAACCCCCACTGCTGCTCCCTCTGCAGTGAGGAAGACTGGTCTGAGGCGCCTCAAAACTCTCTCCACTGCTGCAGCTGCTCCTGCCACTGAAAGGAGCAGTTTGACCGAAAACAAACAGGTCTTCCCCCTCCAGATACTCCCTACCCCGGTTGCCACCTCCCCCCCACTCGTTCCCTCTTAATGCCACCCCCTCCCCTGGAACTGCCCATGCTGGCTCGGCTCCATCTGGGCCGTCGGATCCTGTGTGCACCGGATGATGATCGAACACGAGCCGTTGGATCTCAGCTTGGTTCTGAGCGTCCTGCAGGCGAGCAGCCTCTCTGTAAAGACAGCAAGGGGAGGGGGATTTAGAAAAGGTCGGTAGCGGCATTTGATGCACCGAGGCAGCGAGGGGAGGGGGGTTTAAAACGAGGCAATTGTGTGGCGCGTTAGTACGTTTTTTCAGGCGCCAAAAAAATCGCAAGGAGAGGGGAATTTTAAAAAAGGTCGGTAGAGGCATTTGAGGCACCTTACAATGAGGCACCTTACAATGAGGCAATTGTGTGGCGCGTCAAAACCCTCCTCTGCCGGGCAGTGGATTGAAGTGGGTTTCGAATCGAAAGGTCGGTGGGAATGGGGCAGCGGCTTAAAGCGAGAGCACACATCTGGGTCGGTTGCTTGTTGATAAATTCTGGATCACATTCGAGGGGAAAAAAAGTGCCTGCCTGCTAGTACATGCAAAGGAAAAGCGCACTGGCAAATGTGTGGCCAAGTGATAAACCTTTACCCAACCGAGTTGACTGTGGCCATATTTCCTGGCTCGGCCAAACCTGCTGCGTCTGCTGTACCTGCTGGCTCGGTAGCCGCGGTGAATGAGGAGCAGCATGTAGAGCACGCAGCAGCCCAGCGACACAGCACCAAAGATGATATACAGCCCGAGGAACTTCTGCATTGACAGCTGCACTGCCGAGTCCGCTGCTATAAAAAAAAGTCGAAAAGGAGGAGGAAGAAGACGAGGAGGATATACCGTACCTGCTGCTGGCTCAGCCGTACCTACTGCCTTCGTCATACCTGCACGCGCCATACCTGCTGGCTCGGTAGCCGCGGTGAATGAGGAGCAGCACGTAGAGCATGCAGCAGCCCAGGGAGACAGCGCCAAATATGATATACAGCCCGAGGAACTTCTGCATTGATAGCTGCACTGCCGAGTCTGCAGCCAGCGAGGAAATGGAGGACGAGGAGGAGGAAGATGAGGAGGTTATACTGCTGCTTCTGCTGCTTCTGCTGCTGCTGCTGCTGTTGCTGCTGCTGCTGGGTTGGGTGCAAGAGCCATTGATCCCACTGAAGTGTTTCTCCCGCAGCTGCTGCAGCTGGCCCGACATGGACAGCTGCACGATCGCCTGGGAGACGTCTAGACCCAGCTGCGAGCCCTTGGGGAAGGCCTGGGGGGAAGGGACGAGTTGGGTGGGGGGAGATGTGTGTGTGTGTGTGTGTGTGTGTGTGTGTGTGTGTTTTTTTTTTTTTTTTTTTTTTTTTTTTTTTTTTTTTAAATAAATAACAATAATAATAATAATAATAATAATAATAATAATAATAATAATAATAATAATAATAATAATAATAATAATTATTATTATTATTATTATTATGTGTAGACAATGTGGGGTTTGGAACGAGATGGCATGGCGGAGAGAGAGAGTGCTCACAAAGGCGAGGTTGAGCAGGGAGAAGGGCTGAGGCGCCAGGGCGACATCACAGAAGTCAAGGGAGAAGAGCTCGAGGTAGGGGCTCTCATCCACTATCACCCCCACACGGCCTGAGGTTACTTCGCAGATAGAGAGCGCTTACAAACGCAAGGTTGAGTAGTGAGAAGGGCTGCGGCGCCAGGGCAACGTCGCAGAAGTCGAGCGAGAAGAGCTCGAGGTAGGGGCTCTCATCCACTATCACCCCCACACGGCCTGAGGTTACTTCGCAGAGAGAGAGCGCTTACAAACGCAAGGTTGAGTAGTGAGAAGGGCTGCGGCGCCAGGGCAACGTCGCAGAAGTCGAGCGAGAAGAGCTCGAGGTAGGGGCTCTCATCCACTATCACCCCCACACGCCCCGACATCAGCGCTTCTGCATACTCATCCTCGTTATTGAGTGCCACCAGGCGGTTCTGTTACAAGCCAGCAAAGGGGTCGAGGGAGAAAAGTTGCAGCGATCAGGGTTTGGGTAGTGTGGCAGGGAGTGCGGTGCAGAGCGGTTGAGTCCAGCCGATTTTTGAGTCGACTAAAAAATCGACTTATCACGAGTGCGGTGCAGTGGGGTTGAGTACAGCCCACAATAGCATGCCGGTTTGGCCGGGTTGAGTCTTCCGTCTGATTGAACCCGCACGGTCCCTCGACAAGCGAAGCTCCCTAACCACCCACCAAATCTTCCAGACAGGGTAATGCAGGGATGCCCATTCACCTATTGCAGGCATGCTTTTTCACCTATTGCAGGCATGCTCATTCACCTATTGCAGGCATGCCCATTCACCTATTGCAGGCATGCTCATTCACCTATTGCAGGCATGCCCATTCACCTATTGCAGGCATGCTCATTCACCTATTGCAGGCATGCCCATTCACCTATTGCAGGCATGCTCATTCACCTATTGCAGGCATGCCCATTCACCTATTGCAGGCATGCTCATTCACCTATTGCAGGCATGCCCATTCACCTATTGCAGGCATGCCCATTCACCTATTGCAGGCATGCCCATTCACCTATTGCAGGCATGCTCATTCACCTATTGCAGGCATGCTCATTCACCTATTGCAGGCATGCCCATTCACCTATTGCAGGCATGCCCATTCACCTATTGCAGGCATGCTCATTCACCTATTGCAGGCATGCCCATTCACCTATTGCAGGCATGCTCATTCACCTATTGCAGGCATGCCCATTCACCTATTGCAGGCATGCTCATTCACCTATTGCAGGCATGCTCATTCACCTATTGCAGGCATGCCCATTCACCTATTGCAGGCATGCCCATTCACCTATTGCAGGCATGCTCATTCACCTATTGCAGGCATGCTCATTCACCTATTGCAGGCATGCCCATTCACCTATTGCAGGCATGCCCATTCACCTATTGCAGGCATGCCCATTCACCTATTGCAGGCATGCCCATTCACCTATTGCAGGCATGCCCATTCACCTATTGCAGGCATGCTCATTCACCTATTGCAGGCATGCTCATTCACCTATTGCAGGCATGCTCATTCACCTATTGCAGGCATGCTCATTCACCTATTGCAGGCATGCCCATTCACCTATTGCAGGCATGCTCATTCACCTATTGCAGGCATGCCCATTCACCTATTGCAGGCATGCTCATTCACCTATTGCAGGCATGCTCATTCACCTATTGCAGGCATGCCCATTCACCTATTGCAGGCATGCCCATTCACCTATTGCAGGCATGCCCATTCACCTATTGCAGGCATGCCCATTCACCTATTGCAGGCATGCTCATTCACCTATTGCAGGCATGCCCATTCACCTATTGCAGGCATGCTCATTCACCTATTGCAGGCATGCTCATTCACCTATTGCAGGCATGCCCATTCACCTATTGCAGGCATGCCCATTCACCTATTGCAGGCATGCTCATTCACCTATTGCAGGCATGCTCATTCACCTATTGCAGGCATGCCCATTCACCTATTGCAGGCATGCCCATTCACCTATTGCAGGCATGCCCATTCACCTATTGCAGGCATGCCCATTCACCTATTGCAGGCATGCCCATTCACCTATTGCAGGCATGCTCATTCACCTATTGCAGGCATGCTCATTCACCTATTGCAGGCATGCTCATTCACCTATTGCAGGCATGCCCATTCACCTATTGCAGGCATGCCCATTCACCTATTGCAGGCATGCCCATTCACCTATTGCAGGCATGCTCATTCACCTATTGCAGGCATGCTCATTCACCTATTGCAGGCATGCTCATTCACCTATTGCAGGCATGCTCATTCACCTATTGCAGACATGCCCATTCACCTATTGCAGGCATGCTCATTCACCTATTGCAGGCATGCTCATTCACCTATTGCAGGCATGCCCATTCACCTATTGCAGGCATGCCCATTCACCTATTGCAGGCATGCCCATTCACCTATTGCAGGCATGCCCATTCACCTATTGCAGGCATGCCCATTCACCTATTGCAGGCATGCTCATTCACCTATTGCAGGCATGCTCATTCACCTATTGCAGGCATGCTCATTCACCTATTGCAGGCATGCTCATTCACCTATTGCAGGCATGCCCATTCACCTATTGCAGGCATGCCCATTCACCTATTGCAGGCATGCTCATTCACCTATTGCAGGCATGCTCATTCACCTATTGCAGGCATGCTCATTCACCTATTGCAGGCATGCTCATTCACCTATTGCAGGCATGCCCATTCACCTATTGCAGGCATGCCCATTCACCTATTGCAGGCATGCCCATTCACCTATTGCAGGCATGCCCATTCACCTATTGCAGGCATGCCCATTCACCTATTGCAGGCATGCCCATTCACCTATTGCAGGCATGCCCATTCACCTATTGCAGGCATGCCCATTCACCTATTGCAGGCATGCCCATTCACCTATTGCAGGCATGCCCATTCACCTATTGCAGGCATGCCCATTCACCTATTGCAGGCATGCCCATTCACTCACTGCAGGGAGAACTCTCAGAACTTACCGCACCTAGCAGTGAACAGCATAACGCAGGGATGCCCATGTGCTGCAGGTACGCATTGATGAATGACCCCACCCAGCTGGTAGCCTCTAACCCACCAACCCCTCCCCTCCAGCAGCACATACCGCAGGGATGCCCATGTGCTGCAGGTACGCATTGATGAATGACCCCACCCAGCTGGTAGCCTCTAACCCACCAACCCCTCCCCTCCAGCAGCACATACCGCAGGGATGCCCATCTGCTGCAGGTACGCATTGATGAATGACCCCAGCTGGTACCCGATGGGGGTTGAGGTTGAGGCAGCGGAACCAATGTCCTGGTGGGGCCGTGTGGGATGCAGTGGGATGCGGTGGGATGCGGTGGGATGGGATGAGGCAGGCTTCGACAGGTCTCAAGAACCCACTATGGAGTAAGCACGTCATGCAACAAGCACGTTATGGGATCATGAGCAGCACACGACGCGTGGACTGTGGAATAGAGTCGTATAAGACTGAAGGCAAGCCGGGCTTTCTGACAGATAGGTTATTGTGTATAGTATATAACATGTATATAAAGTATCTACATATATACACATAGAATAGACTTGTCGGTTTCACACAAACCACACTATTGAAGTGCTGAACGGACTTGGGCACACTCGAGACAAGCACAGTTGGATTAAGGTCGTTTTTGAGGCGCCTCAAAAACGACCCCAAGCACAGGTGGATTACTCAAAACTTACCTTTGCCGAGGGTTTGAGCTGGTTGACTGTGACAATAGCCGTGAGGTTTGCCATGCACATGGTGACTATAAGGAAGCCACTTTTGAGTCTACTTTAAGCTGACTCAAAACTCACCATTGCGGAGGGTTTGAGCCGGTTGACTGTGACAATAGCCGTGAGATTTGCAGTGTACATGGTGACTATAAGGAAGCCGACGATGAGAAACACGACCACAAAGAGCCGGGCGAGGGTGGTGCGAACGGGGTACTCTGCCGTGACAAAAACGAGAGGGGGCAGTGGAACGAGAGATATAAGAACAAGATAGCCATTCATAGGCCATTAGACTTGATGACTGATGAGGAAATGAATATAGGAGGTCCAGGATGACTTTTGAGTTGACTCAAAATTCAACTTAAATTTGATGACTGATGAGGGGATGAATATGGGAGGTCCAGGATGGGGCAGTGAAGGTGTCCCAGAGTGTCCCTAAGCTGTCCCGATTGGCGTCAGTCAGCTGTTCCAAGTGGGGACAGCTGGGATGGACAGGCCAAGATGACAGACAGACGGATGAATGGAGAAGGGTTTAGAGTTGGTACAGGGCATAGCAACGTCCAAGGGCTGCCAAAATACTCTGAAACAACAAAGAGAAGGCACTCTGCAATCACCCAGGATGGAGTAGAGTAGAGGGTCTGCAGGCGACTTTTGAGTCGACTCAAAAGTCACCTCTGAAACAACAAAGAGAAGGCACTCCGCAATCACCCAGTATGGAGTAGAGGGTCTGCAGGCCGACCCTGCAAGGGGGATTTTTGCTTTTGAGTCGACTCAAATGCAGGGGGGATTTTTGCTCTCGAGTCGACTCAAATGCAGGGGGGATTTTTGCTCTCGAGTCGACTCAAATGCAGGGGGGATTTTTGCTCTCGAGTCGACTCAAATGCAGGGGGGATTTTAGTTTTTGAGTCAACTCAAATGCAGGGGGATTTTAGTTTTTGAGTCAACTCAAATGCAGGGGGGATTTTTGAGGCGCAGAAGCAGATAGAGACGGCAATGATGACTCGATTTTCGAGTCGACTCAAAAAGAGGAGGCACTCACCTAGGATAGCGTAGAGGGTTTGCAGGCCGAACCTGCAGGTGATAGAGAGGCACACAGAAGCACATCGAGACGGCGCTGATGACTCTTGTGACGTCTCAAGGGATGTCTTAGAAAGGACATGTAGCCGCACAGAGACACACAGGTGAGAGGGTGCGATGCTGAGGTGAACAGTTGAGAAATTTGAAAAAGATTTTGATGTTGAAACGTGGATGGTGAATGCTGGATGTGGGATGCAGCTGAATGTTGGGCGTGGGATGCTGAATGTTGGGTGTGGGATGCTGAATGTTAGATGTGGGATGCTGAACGCTGGATGTGGGATGCATGGGATGTTGGAGGTGGGAGGCTGAATGTTGGATTCCTCACATTTTTTTTTTCTTTTTCTTTCAAGTCTTTTCATGAAAAAACGTACCACGCGGCATTGAGCAGGCGTTGGTGGAGCTATCCTCGGAAGGCCTTGTTGGACTGGTGCTCCAGGAACGATGTGATGAGCCCCGCCAGCACACTCACACACACACACATAGCACCACTTTTGAAGCATTCCAGAACGTAAAGTCAATGTGAACAACTATGAAGATGCATACCATGCGGCGTTGAGAAACCGTTGGTGCAGCTTCCTTCGAAAGGCCTCGTTGGACTGCTCGTCGAGGAACGAGGTGATGAGCCCCGCCAGCACACACATCGCCACCGTCACGGCCCACATGCTGGCTGTGAACGGCTGGAACGCCAGCCAGGGACTCGAGTTCTCCACTGCATACGCCATCAACCCCAGGCCTGACGGCTGGAGATAGAGGAGGACAGGAGGGTTGAAGGAAAGGGAGCATGGAGGCCTGAGCGACTGTTGCATCCCACATGCTGGCTGTGAACGGCTGGAATGCCAGCCAGGGACTCGAGTTTTCCACTGCGTACCCCATCAGGCCCAGATCTGATGGCTGGGGAATTTGGGTTGAAAGGAGTGGGGCGATACTCAAAACTTGACTCATTACACGCACAACAAAGTTGAAACGGAGTGTGACAAGTCTACTCACAAACAAGCACGAGTGCGAAAAGGAAGAGAGTGATTTAAATGGTAGAAGGAAAAGAAAGATGGCTCACAAAGATGGGGCAAGTGAAGATTTGTTTTGAGACGTCTCACGTAACAATATGAAGATCTTCATACACGTAACAATGGCTCACAAAGATGGGGCATGTGAAGAAGACTGCTCGGTTGTAGGTCTCTGTGACTGTGATGTCCCCTATGGGGTGTGGTCAGGAGCTTTCAGGAATATGGGGTCCCCTATGGGGTGTGGTGCGGTGCAGTGTGGGAAAGAGGGCATGGCCGTGCTACACTTGGTCAAGTGAAGAGAGGCGACTCACGAAGATGGGGTATGTAAAGAAGACTGCTCGGTTGCGGGTCTCTGTGACTGTGATGTCCCCTATGGGGTGTGGTCAGGAGCTTTCAGGAATATGGGGTCCCCTATTGGGTGTGGTGCGGTGCAGTGTGGGAAAGAGGGCATGGCCGTGCTACACTTGGTCAAGTGAAGAGAGGCGACTCACAAAGATGGGGTATGTAAAGAAGACTGCTCGGTTGCGGGTCTCTGTGACTGTGATGTCCCCTATGGCCCCTTCATATGTCTGCAGAGAGGGGAGGGGAGGGGAGGCGCATTTGCGTTCTGTCTAGGCGCGGCGCCTGCAAAACAAACATTGTCTTTGTGACAGTGATGTCCCCTATGGCCCCGTCATATGTCTGCAGAGAGAACGACAATGCGTAGGGGAGGGGAGGGGAGCGCCTTTTGACTTGAGCTGCATAGGGGAGGAGAGGCGCCTCAAAAGTATGTCTGCAGAGAGAACGACAATGCGTAGGGGAGGCGAGCGCTTGAGCTGAGCGGGAACAAAACGAGAAACAAAACTGAAAAGACTGCTGCCACCGTCTTATCCAGGTGTAGGTGGGAGAGATGTAGGTGGGAGAGATGTAGGTGGGAGAGATGTAGGTGTATTTTGAGTCGACTCAAAGGTGTATTTTGAGTCGACTCAAAAGGTGTATTTTGAGTCGACTCAAAATACACCAGGTGTAGGTGGGAGAGATGTAGCTGGGAGAGGTGTAGGTGGGAGAGATGTAGGTGGGAGAGGTGTAGGTGGGAGAGATGTAGGTGGGAGAGATGTTATCCTCCCCGTACTGCACAAACTTGCTACATGCACAAATTCAATTCGAGGGAAGGGCCTGCACATGCTACAACAGAGCTCAGCACTGTGCCTGTCTGACTCATCGGGCTACGGCACCCACCTGGTCTGCTACAGCCAGCACCCACCTGGTCTTCTACAGCCAGCACCCACCTTGTCTGCTACAGCCAGCACCCACCTTGTCTGCTACAGCCAGCACCATCTGGTTGTAGCTGGGGGAGACATTATCCTCGCCGTACTGCACAAACTCGTAGTCCAGCGGGTACGGCAGCATGGCCACAGCTGCGTGGAAGACGTCGACGCAGAACCCTGAGAAGCGCTCGTTGCCCTCTCCCTTGGAGATGTTGACAAACTGCTTGAAGACCTGAGACGGGAGGGGAGTGGGAGTCGTTGACGCAGACCCCGGAGAAGATTTTTGAGGCGCCTAAAAAATCGCAGAACCCCGAGAAGCGCTCGTTGCCCTCTCCTTTAGAAATGTTGACAAACTGTGCTTGCAGAGCTGAATGAGAGGTGGGGAGGAGGAGTACGGGGTCGGGTGAGGGGGGAGGGGGAAGGGGGGTAGGAAGGGAATTTGGATGGGGTACGGTATGGCTGGCCGCATGGCCACAGCTGCCTGAAAGACAAACCCCTGAGAAGCGGACGTTGCCTCCCCTCTGGAGATGTTGTTAAACTGGTAGTAGACCTGAGAATGGTGGAGAGGGGAAGGGAAATGGATGAGGCAGAGAGGCTGTCCCAGAGAGGCTGTCCCAGAGAGGCTGTTTTTGCCAGGGGTTTTCTATGTGAGCCAAGAGAGACTGTACGGATAATTTATGGTACACGGACGAGTATGTGCGCATTTTAGAGTGGGCCATTCATGGGCATTCAATGCATACACGAAATATACACATATAAGCCACACACACACACCGCACGCACACACATGTGCACGCACACACATTCGCACGCACACACATGCGCACGCACACACATGCGCGCGCGCACACACATGCGCACGTGCGCGCGCGCACACACACACACACACACACACACACACACACACACAAAAAGAGAGAACACTTACCACTTTATTTGGAACAGCCAATCGGAGTTTGGTCTTGGGGAATGCACCGATGGGAACCTGCATGGGCGCATGTCCATTGAGGGGGGGAGCGGCAAGGGACATAAAAAAAGCTAAGGGCGGATTTCGACTGAAGAAGGGAGAACATCGACAAAGAGAGAAATTGAGTTGCCATGAAGGCGTGCAGAACAAGCAACATTTGTGAATGCGCACGTATCAAGCATTTGTAAAGGTTTTTTTAATTCTTCTCCTTTTTTTTATTTCTGTGAATGAATATGACTCACTCACGTGCCCCCCCCCCCCCCCCCCCCGGAAAGAGTATGCTGAGTGCCTCTTGCTGGTTCCCAGAGGGCTGCTGGAACGATTTTTGAGTCGACTAAAAAGAACTCACTCACTTGTGTCACCCCGCCTGGAAAGAGTATGTTGAGTTCCTCTTGCTGGTTCCCAGAGGGCTGCTGAAATAGGAGGGAATGGAGAGAAGGAGAGCAGGAAAGGAAGGTTGAGACCTGGGCGGGCAGCAGAAGGAGGAATGGCTGGCAATGTGGAGTTTACTTTGGAGAATTCTCAAAGGGAATGGAGAGAAGGAGAGCAGGAATGGAAGGTTGAGACCTGGGCGGGCAGCAGAAGAAGGAATGGCTGGCAATGTGGAGTTTACTTTGGAGAATTCTCAAAGGGAATGGAGAGAAGGAGAGCAGGAATGGAAGGCTGAGACCTGGGCAGCAGAAGAAGGAAGGAATGGCTGATTTCCACACGGGCACGGCTGGGCATGACACGGCTGGGCATGGCACGGGTGGGCATGGCACGGCATTGCTGAGCTGGAATGGTTGAGTACGGCTTAGAGGAAACTTGGACGGTTGACGGAGGGAAGCAAGGCCAGGCCAAATGGCGGTGCCATGCTTGAGAAAGGCTATGGTTGCATGAGCATTGGCTCATGGCAGCTTGTGTGTAGCTCATTCCACACCACACTGCATCGCATCTCATCACAACACATCGCATCATATCATTGCACCACATCATATCATCACACCACACCTCACCACAGCACATCGCATAACACCACACCGCACAGCACTGCACTGCACCTGCAATAAGGGCGTGAGCTGCCAGGCAGGCGTCCAGAAGCCGACCCTCACAGCGGTGGCGTTCACCACGTTGAGCACCTCTATGACGTCACGCCACATCGCACGAAAGCCCACCACAGCACAGCGCAGCATACCACAGCACATCCCAATCACACCGCACTGCACCGCACCTGCAGAGAGGGCGTGAGCTGCCAGGCAGGCGTCCAGAAGCCGACCCTCACAGCCGTGGCGTTCACCACGTTGAGCACCTCTGTGACGTCTGCTTGCAGGTCGCCGTGGGGAGTGAGGGAGATCCTGTTGAGATGAAGATTGGAAGGTTTGGGAGAGGGTGGGGGGGTTTGGGAGAGGGTGGGGAGGTTTGGGAGAGGGTGGGGGGGTTTTGGAGAGGGTGGGGGGGTTTTGGAGAGGGTGGGGGGGTTCGGGAGAGGGGAGAAAGGGCAGTGTCTCAACATGCATTCACCACATTGAGCACCTCTGTGACGTCTGCTTGCCGGTCGCTGTGTGGGTTGAGTGAGATCCTGTAGGATGGGGAAGCGGTGAGGAGAAGGGAGAAGGGGAAAGGGGGGTTGACCAAGTTGACCGCGTTGACCAAATTGACCAACGTTGACCACCTCCGTGGCGTCGGTTTGCAGGTCGCTGTGCGGGGTGAAGGAGGTCCTGAAGAGAGGGAAGGGGTTGGTGGGGTGGGAAAGGGTTGTGGAAGGCAAGGGAAAGCCGACCGAAGGGTTGACCAACATTGACCAACGTTGACCATCTACGTGGTGTCGGCTTGCTGCAGGTCACCGTGTAAGTTGAGGGAGACTCTGGAGAGAAGCAGGGGGGAGGGGAGGGTGCAGTGAGGAGCGTCGCAACACGGTTTGACCATGTTGACCACGTTGACCATGTTGACCACGTTGACCATGTTGACCACGATGACCATGTTGACCACGTTGACCATGTTGAGTACCTCTGCGGCAGGGGCTTGCGGGTCACATGGGAGTGAAGGGCGCTCTTGAGGAGGTGGGGCCCGGGGTACGGAGGTGGTGGGGGAGGGGAGGGCTGCGATGCGATTTGAGAAAGAATGCAGGAAAGGAGAGGCGGGAAGGGTGAATCGGGTGCTCAGATGGGGGGAAAGGGAGAGAAAGCGGCGAGGAGAAACAACCATCGAAAGGCCCGTACCTCCCTGTAAGGCCTTGGGGGTCTTACCTCCCTGTGAGGCCTTGGGGGTCTTACCTCCCTGTGAGGCCTTCGAAGGTTGTGTTGAGAATGGCTTGGCGGAGTGCTGCACCCACTGATACAGGGGGGGGGCGGATGAGGAGTGGAAACAAACGATGGAGAAATAGAGATGAAAAGCACGAATCAAAGAAAGAACGAGAGTGGAGCTCCTCTCAAGGATGCCAAGTGAGAAAGATGATGAAACTAGAGAGAGAGAGAAAAAAAGGATGTTAGCGGAAGAGGCAAGGGTGCCCAGGGCAGGGGCGTTTGAGAATTCTCGAAAGAGATGAACAGAAGAGGTAGCAATGAATGGAATGGAAAGCAATCGGATGCACAACGGATCTGCTGTCCTATCTGAGTTGCGCTGCACTGCCCTGCGCTGCCTGTGAGGTGAGACAGCGTGCTTTAGAGTCGACTCAAAAGCATCTGAGTTGTGTTGCGCTGCCCGTGAGGCAGCCTCACAAGAGAGAAGCACCCACCTGAGTTGCGCTGCAGGTTCTGCAGCAGCGGAATGAGCCCACCACCACCACTGCCACGCGCATCCGCCCCTGCCCCTGCCACCGGCAGTATCAACGCATCCTTACTCGCAACAGTTAAGGGCACAACAGAGTGTAACCCTCGACTGCTGCTACTGCTCCCGGTGCTGGTGCTGCCTGTGCTGGTGCTGCCACTGCCACTGCCACTGCCACTGCCACTGCTGGCGCTGCCGGTGGTGCTGCTGGTGCTGGTGCTGGTGTTGGTGCGGTGCAGCAAGGAGTGCAGGGCGAGGGAGATGAGGTAGACAGCATCGTAGGCTGCGAGGCTGTATGTCTTGGGGTCCTCCTCTGCTGCCCCGGGGAACTGCAGCGGACTGAGCTGCTTCCACCGCTGCTTGAAAGAAGACAGGCGCAGCGACGGGGGCAGATAGGAGGAGGTGATTATCAGACCCTGGGGAATGAGGGGCGGGAGAGAGGAAGCGGGGTGTGAGGGAGGAAAGGAGAGAAGAGGGGGGCAGGTAAGTGGCTGCTGTCATTAAGATTCCCTGGGAGAGGTGTTTTGCTGGACGGAGAAAATGAAGAGAGGAGGAGAAGGGGACAGATAGGAGGCTGTGACGATCCAAACCTGGGGAAGGGATTGGTGGATTGAGTGAGAGGGGAGGAGATGAGAGGAGAGGAAAGGAGAGGAGAGGAGGGGAGAGGAAAGGAGAGGAGAGGAGGGGAGAGGAAAGGAGAGGAGAGGAGGGGAGAGGAAAGGATAGGGGAGAGGAGAGGAGGGGAGAGGAGGGGAGAGGAGAGGAGAAACGAGGATATGAGATGCGAGGAATTGGGGATGCCTCCAAAGCCGCATGTGTACTCTCCTGCAACCTCTTGCACCTTCCTGCACCCTGATGCACCGTTATGCACCCACTCACACACCTCTGCACTCTGCAGTGTGGACGTGTTGGCTTGAGCAGCTCCCTCCGATGCAATCCACACGTAGTTCTTCCCTATCATGCCCAGCTTGCTCGCTGCGATAAGAGGGAACAATGACGGAGAAAGAGAAAATGCATGTCTGTCTTTTCCAGTCAAGCCATGGACCCCTCGTCCCCCTTCTTTTTATCCAATCCACACGTAGTTCTTCCCTATCATGCCCAGCTTGCTCGCTGTGATAAGAGGGAAAAATGGCGGAGAAGAGCAGACGCATGCCTTGTCATTTTAGTCGACTCAAAAGCGAACTTTTGAGTAGACTCAGAAGAGCAGACGCATGCCGTGTCATTTCCAGTCAAGCCATCATACATGATGTTCCAGGACCCCTTGGCTCCCTCCCTTTTAAGCGATCCACACGTAGTTCGTCCCTATCATGCCCAGCTTGCTCACTGCAATAGTGGGAAGGGTGAAAGAGGCACAGATATGCAGGCGGAATCTGAATCCGCTCCCTCCCACTTGTTTCCACTTGTAGTTCTTCCCTATCACCCCCACCATGCTTGCTGGGATAGAGGTACCGATGGGGGTGAAGCAAGCAGCCATGTACATTAAATATGTTATCCTGACCATATGCTACAAGAGCCTATTTTTTAGTCGACTCAAAGATAGAAGGAATAATGGGGGTGAAGCAGCCACGTATAATTCAATCTGATATCTTAACCATGTGCTACAAGAGGAAGGGACCTCAGATTTGTTGTTCTGTTACTGGTTCTTCCAAAATGTTATCACAATGTTCTACACATATCGAGTGTACCTGTATCGAGTATGAGAGCAGACATGGTAGAGGACGCGTGCAGCACGTAGACAGAAGAGTCAACTGCCTTGCTGGCAGCCAGAGCATTTGCCACGTCATCAGCTGTCCACGTGGACTTGACAGGCACCCTCTGGGCAATGTGCACATACGACGCCTTCCAGGAGTACGGGTGGCGGCGGAAGGGGTATGGATAGTGGGAGGAGGAATGGGAAGAAATACGGGAGGGAAGGGGATGAATGCGGCTATGAGAGTGAGTGTGTGTGTGTGTGAGTGTGTGTGTGTGTGTGTGTGTGAGTGTGTGTGTGTGTGTGTGTGTGTGTGTGTGTGTGTGTGTGTGTGTGTGTGAGAGTGATCGAGTGCACACGCGAGCGTGGCAGTAAGTGTGCAAGTGGGTGTGCACACCTTTTTCTCGAGGAGGTAGGTCATGAGTGCCGTGATACCGTTGCGGCCGAAGCGGTTGTCTGTGTAGACTGCCACGAACTGCCTCCACTTGTAGCGCAGCAGCAGCGCTGTAGCAGAGAGGCATTAAAAGAGGGAGAGAAATGGAGGGAAGCAGCGATGTTAGTCCGTCTCTTCCAAAGCTGGTTATCCGTGTAGACTGCCATGAACTACCTCCACTTGTAGCGCAGTAGCAGCGCTGAGAGTCACAGGAAGACACAGAGACAGGCATGGCAAGAGAAGAAGACAGTCAACAACGCGGGTCATACAAAGCCAACGCCAAGATCAGAGATGCAGAGATGATGGCGTTGGGAGAGGTACAGTGCGGTGATGGGCATCACCTTACCTGCACTGCACTACAGTACGGTGATGTGTGCAGAGCAGGTAAGGTGATGCACATACCACCACCATGTCTTACCGGCTATGGCCTGCATGTCGACGCCATCATTGGGAATGGTCCGCATGAAGTACGGCCGAGATCCCCCCACCGTCAGCTGCACGTCTGTTGCTGCCGCCGACACAAAGGGGGTCTGTGGGGAGGGTGAAGGGAAAGGACGGGGTGAGGGAGGGCGGTGCGATAGGATGGGATATGGTGGATAGGAGAAAGCAATGAGACCACCCTCTGCTGCACGTCAGCTGCTGCCACGGAGACAAAAGGAGTCTGCTGTATGTGGGAGCAATAGGAGGAGAATATGAGGAGTGCGGAAGAGGGGTCCTATTTAGTGGAGGCAGCAAGAACAAGCATTTAGGCGCCTCAAAGGCCTCTAAAATCACTACCAATACGTTTCAAACATCGACTGAATTCACCTTTGAGACGCCTAGCTTGTGCCTAGCTTGTGCCTAGCTTGTGCCTAGCTTGTGCCTAGCTTGTGCCTAGCTTGTGCCTAGCTTGTGCCTAGCTTGTGCCTAGCTTGTGCCTAGCTTGTGCCTAGCTTGTGCCTAGCTTGTGCCTAGCTTGTGCCTAGCTTGTGCCTAGCTTGTGCCTAGCTTGTGCCTAGCTTGTGCCTAGCTTGTGCCTAGCTTGTGCCTAGCTTGTGCCTAGCTTGTGCCTAGCTTGTGCCTAGCTTGTGCCTAGCTTGTGCCTAGCTTGTGTGTGTGCTTACCTGGGTGGCACTGGCAAGTGGGCTGACGAGAGCTGATTGGTCGGACGTCCCCGGACCTATGATTGCCACTGGGCGCTGCTGCACTGCTGCCATGGCTGCAGGAGCATTGGGGGAGGAAGGGGAGGAAGAGGAAGAAGAGGAGGAAGAAAAGGAGAGATTGGTCAAGAGTAATTGCGGACATAAGGCATCCTCATTTGGGTTTGGTTTGGTAATCCCTGGGCCTATGATTGCCACTGGGTGCTGCAGGGGCAGTGGGGGAGGAAGCAGAGGGCCAGAGGCAGGGAGTGTGTGTGAGAGAGATGGGGAAAGCAGAGGGCCATGAAAAAAGGGTGACATTCATTGCAGAGAGACAGACAGGCTAATGCTGCTAGGCGACTTTTGGAGTCAGATCAAGAGGGACAGGCTAGTGCTATGTCAGAAGCGCCTGTGTAACGCCTGTGGGGCTTACACGTAAGGGTTGAGTGCCTCTGCGCCTCAAATACAACCCTCGTTTTGACCCAGTGGGTAGCGAGGTGTTACATTTGGTCTCAGAGCCTGGAGTTCGATTCCCGGCTGGGTCACATTTTCCGCTGTGAGCCTGAAGTTGAATGTGGTAACCCAGTAACGAACCCAGTGAACGATCCGCCGCTGGCCTGGCCCACCAGCGAAGTCGCTGTAGAGCGAGATTGAGGTCCTTACGAGGGTCGACTCCCTGCCCAACGAGGACGCTGGCTCCAGGGGGGGACGAGTGTAACGCCTGTGGGGCCTACTACTATACACGTAAGGGTTGAGTGCCTCCGCTGCGCCTCAAATATAACCCTCGTTTTGACCCAGTGGGTAGCGAGGTGTTACAGCCTGCCTACCTGTCAGCAGGCTAAGGATGGACGGCGTGCTGGCGGTGATGTTGCCGGTGACTAAGCGGATGCGGTGACGTGGCAGGATGGTGGGGTCGCTGTTGACGTCAGCAACTGCCATGCTGATTGCTGGACAGGCAGAATGGAGGGGCGAGTGGAAGGGGATAAGAAGCAAGCGAGGGAACGGGAGACAAGCGAGTTTACTTATGAATCGACTCAATAATCAACTCGCTACAATGTCACACGGCGATTGCTGGACAGGCGGAATGGAGGGGCGAGTGGAAGGGGATAAGAAGCAAGCGACGGAACGGGAGGCAAGCAGGGGAGGGGATGGGGGGCACGCGGAAGGGCATGGGGGACAAACGGGAGAAAGGGGTTGAGTGGAGGGGGATGGAGGATAGGCGGAAGGGATTGGGGGCGCGGGGAGGGGATGAGAGCATGTGGGAGAGGCAGGAAGGGTGAGAAGACAGAGAGAGAAAGGATGACGGGACCGGACGGGGAGACAGAGCGGAGGGGGTAGAAGGTGAGGGGGGGGAGCGGGGGTAGTGTGCAATCACGATCATCACCATCACCATCATCATCATCATCATCATCATCACCATCACCATCACCATCACCATCGCCACCATCACCTGCGAGCATGTTCAATCCGTCTTGCGAGTATGACGGAATCAGACACCCCAGTATCACCTCCTCCCTCCCGTCCACCCCCTCCTCCTGCACCCCGCGGATCTCGCCGCGAATCGCACCGTGCTCCCCGCCGTGCTCCGCGCCGTTACTTCCGACCCCACTGCTGTGCCCACCGCCACTTGCGCTGGCGGCTCTCCCCAAAACGACTCTAGCCTTTACCGGCGATTCCGCCACTCGCAATTCAGCCTCTCGCGGTTCGACCTCTCGAAGCACAACGTCTGGGGCCTGCGCCTGCTCTCGAGGCCCTGTCCTCTCCCGCGGAATAGTCTTCCGCGGATTCGAGTCGGCGCGCGGTACCGCCATCGCGCGCACGCCGCGGGCCGCCGCGGCGGGTGCGGACCCGCCAATATCATGCCTACCACTACTGGCGCGCACCGGCGCGCCATGATCCGCGGAACCTTGCGGAGAGTCTCGGAGCGCGTAAGATAGTAAGGGAGGCGCAGATCCGCCGGATACGTGATAATAGCGGTGGTAAGAACCCTCCGCAGGGGCGCTTGACGAATCCGACCGTGATAATAGCGGGGGTAAGAGTAAAACCGCGAGAAGCAGCGTGATTTGTGGCCGAAAGAGATGGGGATGAAAGACTCTTGCTCGGAGAAAGCGGGATTCCGCGAATGGTTTCGCTTTACGCGCCTCGTAAGTTGGATATGGAAGCTTTTCTGCCACGTGGCGCGGGGAGGGGGAGGAGGCCGCCAGGCGTGTCTCCCCGGGCGGTCTGTGCAGCTTCGGCCGAGGTATAGCATAAGCAGGCTCTATATGGTGCGGATGATCCCAATGGCGGGGCCGCGGGCGAGGTCTATAGCGGGTGAAATCACGTCTAAAAGTCAGCCGTCGGCGGGAGTCCTCATTGTTTGGTGGGGGTTCGGTGGATCGCACACAATGGCGACGTGCGGACATGAGAGAGAGCGAAGCGCCGACGGCGACGATGATGGCGACGAATAAGACACGACAAAGATGAAGACGACGACGACGATCCGACAACGGAGGTCCAGCTTAGAAGAGAGAATCACAGAGTTGACAGGTCTAGGTCTAGGCTCTCTTGTTAACTTTTTAAAATCGAGAACACGAGGCGGACAGCCATGAGAGAGCGACGACGACGCCAGGAGTCCCGCTTTGCCAGTGGCAATGAAGCCAGATATAGATCTCGTTTCCGCTTCTGTTATTCGGAACTTTTGTTTCAACCTCGGCTGTGTAGAGACCAGAGGAGACTTCACAAAAACACAGTCGTGGAGCAAGATGGACGGGTGGACGCTGGAGGCCGCTATTGACAAACGGTCCTAAATTCGTCGGCATACCTCTTTTGGTTATGATGGTTCACCAACACTTCCCTCGTCAGATACCCTTTTCTCGGCCCTGTTCGGTAGCCTCCCAGTCGCACTGGGCCCACTCGAACTGGAAAAGCGTCCGAGATGTTGCTTAGCCTCGGGCTTCCACTCACACTGGAAAGAAGTTTCCGTTCAGTTTGCGATAGTTTCCTTGAAATATGTTGTAAATTTCTTGATACGATTGTGGTTCTGTACCAGACTGACCCCAAAACAAAACGTACTTGCCCGTCGCACGGCTACCCTGCTAAACAAAGAGGAAAATAAAAAGCATCGCATGCTGTGCGCCAACTCATTTTGGTTCAAGAAGGTAAGAGCTTCTTTTTCGGCCCGAAATTGTCTAATATGAAGTTAACCCAAAACTGTGCCACTTAGAGTGGCCCTCGCGTAGTGTAACTCAAACCCTAAACTGGGAGTCACTTCCACTGCGAGTCCAGTTTGCCCGGGAAGGAAAATTTCCGTGCAGTTTCGATGCCCGCAGTCAGACTTGGCTTTTGAAGCGTTCGGTAGCCAAGTCACACTGGGCAGGTTCGGTGTTCCAATATCGAGTTAGTGGGCCTTAACGATGTCCTCAGAACCTGCCTTTCACCAACCGCAGTATGAGTGGGGCGTCTACCGAACAGGGCCCTCGTCTCTCGAACATGATCCTGTTTTTCTCCTTCCTGGAACTAGCTCTTCGCCTCGCCACCACCTTGTTGTTCCGGTTCTGAACTGGAACGACAAATGCAGACCTGCGCTGTGCGACATTCGCAGAGAAGTAATCCGTGTAACCTACCCATGTTGTCATTCGTGAAGACCCTGAAGGAAGGAATTTCAGGGCAGTCAACTACGTACTATACACACACCTACAGAAACCATGCGAAACTAGTTCTGTGCGTGCAGTTCCGCTTCCACCCCACCCCACGCTGATATATGAGCATGTCCCACAACACAAGTTGAAACAGGCCAACTGGAATGATACAACCACGGCCTTATGACCAAGCACTCCTTGCAACACTACCGCATCCCTTAGATGCACTGCACATCACTGCCACGACAGCGCCACCGCCACCTATTGGAAATGGATCCCATCTTGGCAGGGCAGCCTGGATTCCTCCGTGGCATTTCGCTGAAGTCGTTTGTTGTCCTTTTCAGCTGTCGCGAAATCTTTCTCCTCCTTGCTGGTCTTTGCGAAGTTCGTTTATTGATCTTTCCGTCCAGCGCGACTCGCGCCATTCCCATTGTCCATTGTCCCTGATTTCGGAAAATCCACCTGTTGCCTTTCGTTGCATCACCAAGCAGAGGAAAGCGACAATGAAGGAAATAGCAGGTGGAGGGGGAATGACAGCAGGCGTTGGCGCTGGCAGTGCAATCGAGTCAGCCAGCTGACCGCGGGCAAGAAAAAAATAAACTCCAGTCGGAAGGCATGCCGCTTCGGGAGCCTCAACCCTAAAATCTTTGGGTTGAGGCTCCCGAACGGCATGCCGTAAGCCTGGGGTATATTTTTTTTGCCTGCGGTCAGCACGCTGACTCACTCGGTAGCGCTACTGGGCGCTACCGGCGCTACCGAGTGTAATTTTTTGGAGGGGGAAGCGGCTGCTTGGCACGCTCAGATCGAACTAGTGTCATCCCTAAAAGCAATTGCACAAAACACAAACGGTGTGGGCAACATTTGTTACAGGTAAACCCACATGCAGGAAACACACCTGCAAGGAGAAATAACAGAAAGGTAAAAAAACACGCACACAAACACACATGCATTAACTTATCTGAATGTTCAAGAAGGGAACAGGAAGGCTGGATTTTGAACTTTATTTCTTAACGCTGTCATCTCACCTTAACTGAACTCAGCAGCTCTGGACTGGAACATCTTAGTTGACAAGCGAAGGAGCCAATGCTCACTTCAGCTGCGGCAAGGAACCGTCATCTCCAGAATCGTCATCATCGTCATCCTCGTATATACCAAGGTCATCATCATCATCGTCGTCATCATCCACCTCAAAGAAATTCCGCCCACTGAACTGCCCTGGAGCTGGCAATTGCCGAGACGGCAGCACCTTAATCACCTGCCCTTGCTTCTGCGCCTGCTTGCTCGATCTCAACACAGAAACCAGCTTGCCAGAAGATGACACTGCCGGTCCTGCTCCCGACCCTGCTTGAAGGCCCATTTCAGGTACGGACCCGGTCCTGACCACCGGCTTGGCACCGGGCCTGTCTCCGGTACCAGCCGTCAGACTACCCGTTAATCTAGCTTCTCTCAATTTTTTTCCCGCGCGGCGGCCGAGTGGAACGTGAGGGAGTGCGTGGGGAGTGGAGCTGCCAAAGCTGCTGCTGCCGCTGCCCACTGCTGCTGGCTGGTCTTCAGAAGCCATGTCAGAGAGCGAGGAGGCGGAGGCAGAGGCTTTAATACCAGAGGTAGAGGCAATGATACCAGGGACAGATGCACGTGCGTGGCGCTCCTTGCTCCACTCTTGACCCTGTGGAGGGAGGTGGTGGGGGGTGAACAGCAAGAGAGGAGCGGAGGTTGGGCGAATTTTGAGGCGTCTCAAAGAATCGACTCAAAACTGCCAGTGCATGCTGCTGGTTGGTCTTCAGAGGCCAGAACAGAGAGTGTGGTGGGGGACGAGGCGCTGGGAGCAGAGACAGAGGAACTTGTATGGTGCTCCTTGTTCCACTCTTGACCTTGAGGAAGGAGGTGGGGGGGGGTGAACAGGGAGGCCTTTTAGTCCACTCAGAGAGATTTTCTAGTCCACTCGGAAAAAATTTCCGGTCGATCCAAAGAGGGAGGAGGTGGAGGAAGAGGATTTGAGACGAGAGGCAGTGGAGAATGCATGGCGGCGCTCCTTCCTCCACTCTGACCCTGCGAGTGGAGGTGGTGGGGACCAACAGGAAGGCACTTTAGTCGACTCAATCGATATTTGCGTTGACTTAAAGAGCGAGAATGCAGAGGAAGAGGAGGTGAGACCGGAGGCAGCTGAGCATGGATGTTACTCTTTGCTCCACTCCTGACCCCCTGTGCTCTACTTTTGAGGCGGCCTAACTGAAACCAACGGGGGAGGGGAGTGAAGGAGGTACCTTTTGGAATCGATCAACCAGGTTGCCCACTCGCTTATGCAGCGAGGCCGCAGCCACAAAGCTCGCTGCCACTTTCATGCCGCGTTTGCTGCTTGACTGCCGCCGTGACGCTCGCCGCTCTGCAGTATCAGCAGCAGATGCTGCTGCTGATGCTCGTGCAAGTGGCGATGCTGGAGTTGCTGCTGCCTCTTCTGCTGCTGATTCTGGTGATATCGGTGGCATCTGTGCTCCTGCTGCTGCTGATGATGATGATGCTCCCTGTGCCAGCGGTGTTATTGGTGGCGTGGGGGGTGACGCTGCAGCTGCTGCTGCTGATATTCCTTGCGCCAGTGGTGATATTGGTGACAGCGCTGCTGCTGCTGCAGCTGCTGCTGTTACTGTTGCCGTTGCTGTTGCTGCTGTTCCTGCCGCTCTTCCTGCTGCTGTTGCTGTTGCTGTTGCTGCTGCTGCTGCTGCCGTCAACCCCTGCTTCAGCACCCGCTGCCTGAGCACGCCCATTGGGTGATGCCGGGATCACGAGCTTTACCCCCTTCGCACCACCCCCACCATTCCCATCATCAGCATGGTCACCCTTCAAATGGGCAGAGTATAAGTTATCCCCATCTTCATCTTCATCTTCATCTTCATCTTCATCCTCATCCTCCTCTTCATCTCCAAGCTCCTCTATAAGATCTAGCGCATCAACCTTGAAGGAAACGGCAGGAGCCAGCGCCACGTGTGCAGGCTGATTCGCTGGCTGATTCGCTGGCTGATTCGCTGGCTGATTCGCTGGCTGATTCGCTGGAACGAATTCCACCATGTCTGTATTGTATGACTTGGCTTGTTGCCGCGACAGCTCCCTGGAACAGCACGCACACAGAACGGGTAAAGCAGAGCATGAGGAAATTTGAAGGCTCCTCAAAAGTGATGTTTGTTGCCGTGACCCCTCCCTGCGACAGGGCACAAAGGGGGTAAAGCATAGTGTGAGAAGCCACAAAACACGCAAGAGCGGGTGAAAACAGGCAATCAGAGACATTAAACTCCTTCGAATGAAAGCTCCTAGGAAAGGGGACTTTCCTTGTTAAATAAGACTTTCTTGTAAGTAAGAAGGGCATTTGCCATTACAGAGTGCTTTGCAGGGAGCAGTGCAGAATAAATCCCACTAGCACTATCCCACTCGTCCTCCCATACTGGAGTGACTTTTGAGAATTCTCAAAAGTAAATCCCACTCACACTATCCCACTCGTCCTCCCATACCCACTCCCAACCCTTCCCCCACCCATACCCCTGCTCCCAACCCTTCCCCCACCCATACCCCTGCTCCCTCACTGGACCACCATGGCATGACGGAATACCAGCAGGCACCCCAAACCCATCCCCGCCCCCACCCCTGTGTCACCTAGCCACCATGGCATGACGCAACCCCAGCAGGCCCACATAGAGCAGGCAGTACGAAAACGACACCATTCCCATCCCCACTCCCACTCCCACTCCCACTCCCACTCCCACTCCCACTCCCACTCCCACTCCCCACTCCCCACTCCCTCCCACCCCCAGCCGCACACCCACCCCCACCCCTGTCTCACCTCGCCACCATGGCACCGCGGAACACCAGCAGCCCGACGTACAGCAGGCAGCACGCGAGCGACACCACGGCATACCCCACAAACAGCCCCCAGAAGTTCTCATTCGCCAGCACTGCTGGGGCCTCGGGCATGAGCGTGTCGGGGCACTGGCGAGGCCCTCCCAGGAGGTAGTCCTGCTGCAGTCGATCCAGCTCGCCTGTCATAGTGAGGTGGAGAATCGCTGCTGAGATGTCCCTGCGCAGTTGGGAGCCTTTTTGGAACGCCTGGGAAGGGGGAAGCGTGGATGCCGGGGAGGGGGATGCTTTGTTTGCTTGTTTATTCATCTTCTTTTACTATTACTAATATGTTCAGCACTGATACATAAAGCTGGTTTATGAAGGGGGTTCAAATCCCAATTATGATACAAAAAGTGCCTGACCTGAGGTGGTTCAATTCACGTCCCTTCAGGAACTCCCACCTCCCACGGCCCTCCCAGCAGCTACTCCTGATGAGGGATCTCTGAGGCACCTCAAATTTCGCCCACACCCTTCTCGCACTCACAGCAACACTCTCTCGCTCTCACCCACACTTACACACGCACTCTCCCGCTCCCTCAGGCAAACTCAGTCTCAGTCTCGGACTCAGTCTCAGTCTCAGTCTCAGTCTCAGTCTCAGTCTCAGTCTCGGACTCACGAATGCCATGCTGAGGAAGGAGTAGGGCTGCTTGACTTTAGCCATGCTGCAGTAATTGGCCCTCAGCAGGTCCAGGTAAGGGTCTTCATCCACCACCACCCTCACTCACTCTCACTCTCCCTCTCTCTCACTCACGAATGCCATGCTGAGGAAGGAGTAGGGCTGCTTGACTTGCGCCATGCTGCAGTGGTTGGCTCGCAGCAGGTCCAGGTAAGGGTCCTCGTCCACCACCACCTTCGCCCTCCCAGTCACCAGCGCACTGCTGTACTCCTCCACACTGTTGAGCGGCACCATGTTGTGCTACACGGGGTACACATGGAGGGGTGTGGGATGGAAGACAGAAATGTGTGCAAGCCCAGGTAAGGGTCCTCGTCCACCACCACCTTCGCCCTCCCAGTCACCAGCGCACTGCTGTACTCCTCCACGCTAGTAAGCGGTACCATGTTGTGCTATAAGGGGTACAGATGGAGGGGTGTGGGATGGAAGGCAGAAATGTGTGCTGTCAACAAATCCAGGTAAGGGTCTTCATCCACCACCACCCTCGCCCTCCCAGACACCACCACTCTCGCCCTCCCAGACACCACCACTCTCGCCCTCCCAGACACCACCACTCTCGCCCTCCCAGACACCACCACTCTCGCCCTCCCAGACACCAGCTCATTGTTGCACTCCTCCACGCTACTAAATGGTACCATGTTGTGCTATAAGGGGTACAGAAAGCAAGCGGGGACAGAAGAAAGGGAGGGGGCGAAGGGGGAGGAAATGCTAGTCGACTTTGAAAACTCCTCTGTGCTGTTAACTGGTACCATGCTGTGCTACACATAGGGAGGGAAGAGGCAAGTTTAGAACTTCCTCCGTGCTGTTAAGCGATACCATGGAGTGTAAGAAAGGGGTACAGAGAGGAGGGGAGAGAAAGGGGGCAGGATAAAAGGGGTTCTTAAGAAGCCGTGAGACTGATCCTCCGCGCTGCGAAGTGGTACCTTGTTGTGCAATAAAGGGTACAGATGGGAGGCGTGGGACAGAAGCGGCAGGCAGGCAAGGGAACCTCTGAAGCACCTCAGAGAAGGCGTGGGAGAGTGGATAGAGGCAAGAGCGGAGAGAGGCGAGAGCGGAGAGAGGCGAAAGGAGGGACCAGCCCCGTCTTACCTTGTGCACACCCAGCTGCGTGAGATAGCCTTTGATAGAGGACCTGACGTGTAATGAGGTTATTTTTTAGACGTCTCAAAGATAGCCTTTGATAGAGGACCTGACCTCGTAGGCGATGGATGGGTTGTTTAACCTTCCTTTTTGAGTGGGATGTGGGTAGGTGGGTAGGGAGGTGATTTACCTTCTGCACCCCCAGCTGCAGGAGGTATCCTTCGATGAACGACCCCGCCTGGTAGGCGATGGGGTTGTTGGCGTTGATGACACTGTTCACGTCAAGCGAGGGCACTGTGAGCATGTTGACCGTGATTATCGACGTCAGGTTGGCTGTGTAGGATGTGACTACAACGAAGGTCACCAGCAGCCAGAGCGCCAGCATTATCCGCGCGGTCACAGACCGCACCGGCTTCTCTGGGAGAAGGAAAAAGGAAAAGAGCGTGGGAAACGGGGGAAGAAGGGGAGTATGGTAGAGGTGGGAAATGAGCTTGAAAAGGTCATTGCCACCATCAGCCAGAGCGCCAGAATTATCCGCGCGATCACTGTCCGCACTGGCTTTTCTGACAGAAAAGAAAAACGGGGCGAGTGCGGGAGGGGGGGGGGGGGGGGGGGGGGGGGGGGGGGGGGGGGGGGGGGGGGGGGAAGGGGAGAAGGTGGGCAAGGAGGGGGGGAGAGGTTTTGGGGAAAGTGGGGGGGGAGACGTCACCAGCAGCCAGAGCGCCAGCACTATCCGTGCTATCACCATCCGCACCGGCTTCTCTGGGAGAGAAGGAAAAGGGAAAAGAACATGACGTCTCAAGAATTGAGTGGTAAGATGGATGTTGCTGGTGCGGTGAGAGTGAGGGTACGAGTGAGGGTGCGAGTGAGGGTGAGAGTGAGGGTGCGAGTGAGGGTGCGAGTGAGGGTGAGAGTGAGGGTGCGAGTGAGGGTGAGAGTGAGGGTGAGAGTGAGGGTGGATGAGTGCAGGACTCACCGAGAAAGGAGAAGGCTGAGAGGTAGCCAAACCTGTGGGAGGGGATAGAAGGAGCACACATGAAGCGCGGAGCGGATTAGCATGAAGAACACAAGGCTGTGTGAAGCTGATATCAAGATTTCTTAGAATCGTTCTCGACTCGTAACACATCACGTGTCTTGGGTCGACTCAAAGCACGGCTAGATTTCTCAGAAACATTCTTGTTTGGGAATCACTTTTAAGAATTCTCAAAAATCTTGACTGATCTTGAGAAATCTTGATAACACGTCACCCACCAGAGCGCGTGCTGCAGCAGCTCATGAAGCTTCCCCTGAAACTCGAGGTTTTCTTTTGGATCGACTCAAAACGTACAAGAGGTCCTGAACTCGACTCGTCGTAACACAGCAACCTACCAGAGGGCGTGCTGCAGCAGCTCATGAAGCTTCCCTTGAAACTCGGGGTTCTGGCGGCACTCGAGAAACACGGTGATGAGCCCCGTGGCTATAGTCAAGCCGAGAAACGCCGCCCACATGGAGGGAGTGAAGGGCGCGAGTGCCATCCACCAGCTGCTGGAGGGCGGCACGTAGGCGATCACACTCACTGCTGACGCCTGTGAGGGGTAGGGAGAGTTTGGAGACGGACAGGAGGGGGTTGGTTGGAGTGGGGTGAAGTGGGGTGGAAAGGGGTGAAGGGGTGTGAAGGGCGCGCAGCGCGTGGCATCCATCAGCTGCTGGAGGGCGGCATGTAGGTGATCACACTCACTGCTGATGCCTGGGGAGGGTATAGATGGGTGTAGAGGAGTAATGAAGGAGAAAGAAGAAGAATGAGCAGGAAAGCAACGGAGGGCGGCATTGACACATAGGCGATCACACTGACTGAAGAGGGACGAACGTGCAGGTGATGGCTTCTTGTATACAAAACAAAGAGCACAAGTGGCCTTCAGGATATTACAATCCAGTTTCTAGGCTAGATTTCCGCTGTCTCAAGAAGTATAGAGACATGGCAGCATGAGTAATGCACCATGTGAGTAACATGTAATGAACATGTAATGTAGGGCTGTGAGTAATGAAGATGACGAGAGCATGAGCAACAAACGAACCATGTAGGGCTGTGTGAAATCTACCAGCTTGCTCCGCGCCTGGGTCACTGAGATGTCACCAATGGCCCCGTCAAACTTCTGCCAGCCACAACGCAGATGGATGCAGTGAGCCAGATGGATCATGGATGTGATGTGAGCGACAATCAGGAGCAACAACTGCGTTCGCATATATGCACAAAAGAAAGACTTGAATAGATGGATTGACTTTATTGCAGCCAAGTAAAACGGACGGATGTAACAGTTACTGCAACTACTTTGCCCGGCACAGCTTGCAGCATGCGGTCGCATCGCACACAATTCCCACCACCACCTGGGAGAATCCTCAAGAGCAACACAGAAAGCAACCCTGAACCCGCCATTACCTCATCGGCCACCGCCCGCCTGCAGCATGGCATCGTATCGCACACAAGCCTCACCACCCCTAGCCCTGAACCTTTAAGCCCTCGACGTAGAAAACCCACACAACCCTAAGCCCGCCATTACCTCATCTGCCACGGCCCCACCTGCAGCATGTCGTCGTATCGTATCCCACCGGAGCAATCCCACCGGAGCAATCCCTCCGGAGCAATCCCACCGGAGCAATCCCACCTCTTTCAAGAGTTCTCTGAAGCAACACAACTAGCAACCCTACACCCTCAACCCCGCCATTTCCCAAACCCGCCACTACCTCGTCTGCCACGGCCTGCAGCATGTCGTCGTATCCCATTGGAGCGTCAGCACCACCGCCGCCGTCGTCCCCGACAAACGGCACGAGCTCATAGTCTGCCTTGTACGGCAGCTTGCTGACGGCCAGGCGGAATAACTCGATTGTGAAACCAGAGAAGGAGTATGCGGAGGTATCATTTGTGGGTGAGGCGGAGGAGGAGGTGCGTGTGATGTTGACGAATTGCTGGAAGCCCTTTTTGTAGGGCACAGCTAGCAGCAGCTTGCGGCGCGGAAAGGCACCTGAGGGGGGCTGTGGGTGGAATGGAAGGAGCGAGTGATGGGGGGATGGGAGGAGGTAGATTGGAGATGGGTGGAGGGGGAATGGAAGGCAGGTGGAAGGAACAGAGAGGTGTAGGAGAGAGGCGGGTGATGCATGTGAGTGAAAACCTATCAAGAATTTTCAGAAAAAGAAGGGTAGGAGGAGGAAGGGAGGAAGGAGGGGAGGCACCTTGGTAGTATTGCCAAGAAGGGTAGGAGGAGGATGGGAGGGAAGGAGGGGAGGCAAGGGGAGGCAAGGGTAGTATTATGAGGAAGGAGGGGAGGTACCTTGGTAGTATTGCCAAGAAGGGTAGGAGGAGGATGGGAGGGAAGGAGGGGAGGCATGGGGAGGCAAGGGTAGTATTATGAGGAAGGAGGGGAGGTACCTTGGTAGTATTGCCAAGAAGGGTAGGAGGAGGATGGGAGGGAAGGAGGGGAGGCATGGGGAGGCAAGGGTAGTATTATGAGGAAGGAGGGGAGGTACCTTGGTAGTATTGCCAAGAAGGGTAGGAGGATGATGGGAGGCAAGGAGGGGAGGCAAGGGGAGGCAAGGGTAGTATTATGAGGAAGGAGGGGAGGTACCTTGGTAGTATTGCCAAGAAGGGTAGGAGGAGGATGGGAGGGAAGGAGGGGAGGCATGGGGAGGCAAGGGTAGTATTATGAGGAAGGAGGGGAGGTACCTTGGTAGTATTGCCAAGAAGGGTAGGAGGATGATGGGAGGCAAGGAGGGGAGGCAAGGGGAGGCAAGGGTAGTATTATGAGGAAGGAGGGGAGGTACCTTGGTAGTATTGCCAAGAAGGGTAGGATGAGGATGGGAGGGAAGGAGGGGAGGCAAGGGGAGGCAAGGGTAGTATTATGAGGAAGGAGGGGAGGCACCTTGGTAGTATTGCCTGGGAAGGAGATGTTGAGCATGCGTGACGTGCCGTTCATGGGGGGTAGCTGCACACAAGGCAAGGCGCGTGACAACAAAGGAGTCAGACGCAAGAGGAACCACTTGAGCCTTCTCACGATGTAGCTTGGGAGGAATTGGAAGGGGAGGGGAGAGGGAAGGGGGGTTGTTTACGCATGCCGGGATGCATGTATAAGAGAGGGGCGTATGCCAATGAGGGGCGTATGCCAATGAGGGGCGTATGCCAATGAGGGGCGTATGCCAATGAGGGGCGTATGCCAATGAGGGGCGTATGCCAATGAGGGGCGTATGCCAATGAGGGGCGTATGCCAATGAGGGACGTATGCCAATGAGGGGCGTATGCCAATGAGGGGCGTATGCCAATGAGGGGCGTATGCCAATGAGGGGCGTATGCCAATGAGGGGCGTATGGGAGCAGAGAGGAGGTCCAATAGGTTTTGCGAAGGCTCACAACGCTCTCAAACAAAGGGAGGGGGCGTACATCAAGGTAGGGGAGGGGCGTACATCAAGGGAGGGCGTGAGGAGAAGCGAGGAGGTCCAGAAGCCAACTGGCACGGCGGAGCCGTTGATCACGTTGAGAATGCGCGTCACGTTCGACTGCAGGTCGCTGTGCGAGTTGAGCGAGATCCTGG